GGACTGGTCTAAGCTGGCACTCCAGTGCCGGACTGGTCTAAGCTGGCACTCCAGTACCGGACTGGTCTAAGACAGCACTCCAGTGCCGTACGGGCTAAGCTGGCACTCCAGTGCAGTACTGGTGACCACAACATTTGTCAGAATTTTTGTCTTTCAGATGAGATGTTAAAACTGAGGTCCCGTCTTCTGGTTAGCAAACCCATAACACTCCTGGACTTGGTCATTTGCCTCCTGGCTGTTGGTGAGGCCTTGCCGTGCACAGTATAGCTGACGCATTCATCCACAAATACAGTCGCTGCGCTTGAAATTGTAAAGAGCTAATTGCAAGCTCTGTGAAGCTTGCTATTTCTTAGTTTGGGAACGGAGAGGCACAGCCTGGGATTGAACCTTTGAGTTTCTATCTGCAATTAGGCCACGTCCTGGGTACAATAGATTCAGCCTTTCATCATCTTAACATTGGCAGATACCCCCAGGAATCTGAATTTAGGCCATTGCCATTGCTAACTATGGGGTTTACAACATTAAAATAGATCAACAGATGCGATACTGCCTCCAAGCCAACAATTTAAAGCCATCTAGAGTGAGCAAATTGGAGACAAGACTTCTAATGTTCACTCAATTTGAAATCTCCATCTTGCTCTCCCCCAGCCCGGCAGGACTTGGAAGGGCAGACCAGGAGCAGGGATTATTCCCACTTGACTCCTGTAGGAAGCGTGCCACAAAATGCTCTCAATCGCAAGCAATATGGTTTTAGCTGTTATGTTATGCATACTCTGAAATCCCCAAGTCTTGTCAACCTGCGGTTCATACTCAATTTAAACGCAGACAGGAGCTGAACTGGTTCAATTCCAGTTGGCTTCTCCATTCTCAATCAAAGAAAGAGCTTGGAATTTTCTAACACCTTAGGTGTTAGCCTGGCTCAGCTTGTAGCACTCTCGACTCTTGATTCAGAAGGTTGTGGGTTCAAGTCCTATGTCAGGACTTTGAACCCGCACAGTCTAGGCTGACATTCCAATACAGTTCTGGGCGTGTGCTGTCAGAAGTCCCATCTTTCGGGTGAATTGTTAAACCAAGGTCAAATCTGCCTGTTCAAGTGGATGGTGAAGATCCCAGGGCATTGAGAAAGGGAGTTTCTCCATTATTCTGGCCAACAATGTGGAAAAATTAGTTGACACATTTGCCTACAAAAGATACAGCCACACCACGTTACAGTAATATCCTGAGATACTTTGAATTGTTCACCTGACGTGAAAGGTGCTTATAACACGTCTTATATCAAATTATTATAATAATTACTGTTAAATTAGCACCTTCCTTTGGGTGACACGTTAAACGCTGGTTCCCATCTCTTGAAAAGAGGGAGCTTTTCCTGTTCAGTGTCAAGACCAATAATACCCACAAATAAAATGGGGACATTACTGTGCACAAATCAGCTGCCTTCCTGGCTTAAAAATGCAGTTAACTACATTTAAGATGTTCTGATAAAACAAACACTGTATCAAATACAAAAATTGTTATGAATTTGCTTCACAGTCCCATATCAGGTTTGAAATTAATATTACAATACAAAATTACAGCACCTTTCACATCAGGGGGATGATCCGAGGCGCTGGACAGTCAGGGATTAGGACCCGAGCTGGGGGTCGGGATTCGAGAGGGTAGGAGAGTGGCCGAAAGCTTGGTCAAAGAGGAGTTTGTAACTATACAACAAACAGATAAAATCCTGGGTTCTTACTCACATACCCAAACAGACTGACTGGAAGGGTGGGAGGGGAGTGTGGAAAGAACCAGAAGCAATCAAACTCAGATAAGCAGCAGCTGTGTCAACTGTCGCCCTACTAAAAATCCACCTTCGACCAGTTATTAAATGGCTGCAATGGTGAGGGCAATCAGCCACAGGCAGACAGTGAAACAGCCATTGCCTCGCACCGTGAAGGCCGGCTCCTTAATTGGCACGCAAGCGGACTGACAGAGAGCAAGCTCGGCAGCACAATTTGTAACAAAGCAACAACCGTCTTAGAAAACAAGAAGAAACTTCATCTCTTGTGAATGGTAACACACAGCAGCCTTTTTTAAAAAAAGCTGTGATATTCCAGCACCTGTTTGTACAGCACCCTTCTGATAACTCCAAGGGAAAGGGGTTCAGCAAGTGGCGAGTTACGCACATATACAAACACATAAATAACGTGGCTGGGATATTGACAGCATAATGACTTGTGATAATGACACGTTCAGTCACTGGCCTGCTTTCATGTCCTGCACCCTGCTAACCCCACAATCAGGGGTCAGGCATTCAATTTTTCTGCTCCCACTCTGTGGAACTCCATCCCAAAGTCCCTCTGTCTCACTCCTTCCATTGCCTCCTACATAGTCCGTCTCAAGACCTTCTTCTTTGACCGCGCCTTCGGTCACCTTCCCATCCCCACCCTCCTTGTCACTAAGCCCTTTCGAATCCAAGCCTTCCACTGACAGTGCCTTGGGATCTCATGAAAAGTGCGATATAAATTAAATTTGGTGTTATCGTCCAGACATCTCAAATTGCTTCACAGGATTTACCATAAAGTGTAGTGACTATGTACTTGTGGGTAATGCAGCAGCCAATTTTCTTACAGCGAGAGCCATGAAGTGAAAGGCTAATTTAATCTGGGGGATCAGTGCACTAAGTGGAACCCTGAACTGACTCTGGAATGATGCGGAGAATGGTTTAACAAGCTGAAAGGACTCGTCTGATTATTATTATCAGATTCAGCCCATCAGTGACAATCAGATTAATCTCATGAATAAAAATGAGGCCCAAAGGCAACAATCAAGCTTTCATTTGTAAAACGCTTTGAAGCTCTGTGTGAAATTTCAGATAACTGATAAACAACCACTGAAATACCATTCCCCAATCAGCAAGAGGTACCCAAGGGCTGAGACGATGCACTTGTTTCTATAATAGAATGTTTGACAGGCTACTGAAATAGATTAATTGAATATTCAGAGCAAGGCTTACAAAAAGTGTCATGTCAATATCATTCTGACAGCGGTGCAGACAAGGATTCTGGGTTTTAACTCTTTTTTCAAGAGCATAATTTACGTGTTTTTCCCCCCAACCTTTTCATTCTGCTTTTCAGACTGGGATGTAAAGGCCACTCCGTGGATGGTAAGGTAAATAAATGATGCAAGTTTTTTCCTCCTCCCTGCCACCCACTCCGATTTCCAGCCCCACATTAGTAATTAAGATCATGGTCTAGGGTAGACTGACATAATAATCCTGCCATTTGATGTAGCACCTTACACATCAGGACGATATCTCAAAGTGCGTCACAGGATCCATTGTAAAGTGCCTGGTTTGTGGGCGAACTGGGATGTGCTGCACTGTTGAGTTGGTGTCTTTTGGATAAGACATTGTTCAAGTGGAAGTTAAAAAATCCCTTAACCTTGAAATAAGAAGGGAGTTTCCCGTGTAAGAATCCTCCCAAGTTGTTCATACAATTCAGACAACAGGGCTATTGTATTTGCCTACGAAACACACAGGCACTATACTTCACAGTGTATTCCTATATCCTCCTGACCGGACAGTCTCTATATCAATGCACAAATTATTTATTATTTCCATTCAGACTGAGCACACATGTGCAACTTCCCAAGTCTCAAGATGGAGCCACACAACCTCAGCAACTGTCAATGCCTTACATTACTGTGAACCTACTTGGTCCTCTTCTCGTGTCCTCTTGGGTCCAGCTCAACACCACCACCCTTTCCCCATTCAAAGCTATTCACACAATGAGCAACACAAATGTATTATGAAGTGCAGTGTTTTTATGTGGGCAAAACAGGTGAAAATGATGACAAGCATGTGTATCTCCCAGGGCATTTACAGGGAAGTTAGATTTCTAAATTGGTGATTTATGTGGATTATAAATATTACAAAAAAACTGCTACCTGAAGGCCTATTATAGGGTCACACTTCCTGCTTCCAAGTTCTGCAATCAAAGGCTCTTCTTACTCAATAAATGTGGAACTAAAGCAGAGAGCACATCTGCTACCAATAAATAGAAGCATTAACATTTATTCAATTAGCTAACTTCATGCAAAATAATTAAAAGCAGAAAACTCTGGAGCAGAGTTCATTCATTGCAGGAACCAAGGGGATCGACTGAGAAGTTATCTCCACAACCACACCAACTTGTGGCAATGAAGTGTGAAATTATTTGATAGGAGTATACATGGTCCAAAATACAGTGGGAGGGGGAGACCATTCAACTACTAGAGCTCAACCGTAACGACATTTGGCACAAGCAGTTTTGTTTTACAAGACACTTTATCACGCTGTAAACCAGAGAAGGAAAGGCCACTCTTAAGACTTTGTGGATTCAGCATGGCCTCTTAAGTCTCTTCTTGTGAATCAGCACCTTGCCTCTGCTTACCACCTCCACTTAATGGTAAAACTGACAATTGGCATCAATCGAGTTGATTTTAAAAATCAAATGCTCTATAACTCTACAATTGACATATGAAATGAGTGTTTGAAATACAGGGACTTGAAGTAATGTCAGGAAGTAATTCATCTGGGAGGTAATGCATTCCAGGAATATAGGTGCAAGACCAAGTCATTCAATGCGTTTTTTTCAGATCACAGCAGCTTTTTATATTTTTATTAATAATAACCCTTGTATTTCACATCAGCAGGACTTCTCAAAGCACTTCCCTGGATTTACTGTGAAGTGCAGTGACTATTTTGTAGAAAACCCATTTGCCAACACTTCTTCCACATTCTTTATTTATGAAGTATCTATTAACTTCTCTGCCTAACTTTTAAACACCGACCTCACTTACACAAACTGAAAAATTACCTGTGTTATCACAATGTCTCATGATTTCGAAAAATTCATGTCTTCTGCTGTAGCCCCTGCAGAGGGTGGCAGTTAACCCAGTTTCAAGTACTGCAATGCCAATAAACTTTTGTCAAATGGCCACAATAAGAGTCAAATAACTCACAAGGTTACTAGCCAAGGTTACTAGCACTGAATTTATTTTGGGGGGTGGAGGGAAAGACCCCAAATAATAAGGATTGAAACTCCAAGACAGAATCTGTACAAAGAGCATAGAGTATCATACAGAATGTACATGTTACTGATTTTTGTAACAAATTCACACATAACAAATCTTACACTTGCATCTCACTCCCTCTAGCATTCCACATGCTAGCTTACAAGGTCATAATTTAAGACGAGAATTCAATTTGTTCTTTTTGTTAAACTGACGAATTTAACCAACACAGAAAAAGTGAAAAGTTGACTCGAAAACATTCTTTCTTGGCACAACAAAACAATGATAGTATTAATTACATTATCTACATGACCAGAACAACCCACACTACTCCATTTCAGAGAATCTGGCAAACATGGCTTTTCGAACGGCATCTTTATAGGTATCTGCAGTGGACACGCCATATGAGCTTCCACGAGTTCCCAGTCCAGCTCCCTTCATCCTCAACTGAGCCTATTATTAACACAAGATATGATCAGATTAGTTTTTCAGTGTTGTCCATCTTAAAATCCATTCACATTTAGTGCAACTACCTGAGAAACCAAGAAGCTTCCGATCTTCTTTATTTTTCATTATTTCCCCAGCACATTCAGCAGCCCCTGTGCCGTGACAAAGGAGAGCACCTCACCCCCAACTCTAACAGTAGTACTAGTAAATCAATAATTTGAACCCATTCTGACTGGTGATTGCGAAGAAGCTTTGCCCCTCCAAGTCCTGTCGATGAGCCAAAATGAGCCAAGGAGAACTGAGGATCCACCAGGCACAGAAACCAGAAAAACAGGATTCTGATATTCACAGAGGATTCTGATATTCTGTTGCTAAACACATCACCCGAAAAATGACCATTAGGCATTAGTGCTATTGAAACTTAGAAATACAACTTAAGACTTCCAAGTGTAGTTGAATAACTTGCCTCAATAGGAGCTGTAATGCCTTGTTGATTCCGCCCAAGTCCTGAACCTTCTTTCCAGCCCATGGCTTGCAACATCCGGCTTCCAATATTGTCACTGCCAATACCATCTTTAGTTGGCTGCTCAAAATCACTGCAAAATGTTGAGAAACTTATAAATCTTTCAAAGATCTTTCAAAGACCTTTTCACTATTCCTGAGAAAAACATTTCTTTATTAATATTTGTTATTGTAAGATTTGTAGCCAAACAAGAAGGAAGGGTCACACTGGGCAACAGGAAGTTCTTAAAAGGAAAATGCCTTCATGCAATTCAACGTGAGATGCAGTTGGAAATAACCTGTTATACATGGAGAATAAGAGAATGAATAAATAAGTTTGTAAGATCAATTCGGGGGAAAATGCCCAATAGCAGCTAGTTTGAGGAGATGGGAAGAGAAAAATGAAATGCTTTCTCACAAGGAGGGAATAAAGTGAGTAACTGGCATTCCCTCCAGTGGGGAGTAGACACTACCAGGCAATTCCTGAACTTGGAGGATCGCCCTTTGGGCCCTGGTGTCTTGCATCATGTAACATTGACTTCAGAACACATGGGTATAGATTGCTCTTTGTCAGCCAAGGTCAAGACCAGACAAAAAGTACACAAAGCAGACTGGGAAAGGGGATTCACCAATGTCACTCAGGCACATTTCATTTGCTCTAATGGTCAGTAAAAGAGGACTATTTGGCCAAAGTCCTAAGTACTTCACTTGAAGATATTTCTTGGGTAATAATGCATACTTTATGGGAGCCCTACAGCATAAGGGAAATTTATACTTACACCACTGCTTGGGGGGGAAAGAACTTCTTCCTCTTGGGTTCTGGAGGCTCTGGTATTCCATATTTCTCTCTCCTTTCTGCTGCTCTGTCTCTGTACTTCATCTAGGGAAAAAGTTAAAGGTACATTTAGCACTTTGAACACACTGCAATATTCATGGCTGGAGGCTGGTTTCCTTCCCCTGCTGTGATTGTCTGATCTTACCTCTCTTTCAGTCTTCTCCAAAGCTTCAAGTTCTTTATCAGACATTTTTGATCTTCTGTGAATCTCTAGATTTTGCTTCATTGATGGAAGAAAAAAATAGCATTTTAGCCATTGAAAGCCTATTCAAAAAGAATTCCATTATTGGGATTACTCAATCACTTTCCTATGCTGTCTCAAAAGCCATTGTATTTTACATTTTCATCTAACCTATATCCTTAGTGATACACTAGTGGTATAAACAAAAAAGCACGAGAATCCAATAGGTTTAGTTATATTTCATTAATTGGTTCCAACCATAAGTCTTGTCAAAGACATTACTTGCTCCCACGTGTAAATATCTGACAGCTACTAATGAGGTAACCTCTAATTAATGTGCCATTTTACAGCTACAATCCACATTCTCACGATTGAATTCACAAATCTAACTATTCAACTAGAATCCTTTCCTTGTGTAACATACTTAACTGTTCATTCTTAACCCACAAAATATAGTCAGTTCACTTTACAATACATTCTGTGAAACACTTTGAGACGCCTCAACGACGTGAAAAGGCACTGTATCAAATGCAAGGATTATTATTATAACCCACAAACTAGAATTAGTCAATGAGGAATCCTTCATCTTGGAGGACCAGAGGTTTCAGGATCTTCAAATCCATATCTGTAGCTACACCACAGAGCTGTGGGCTGATGACCAAATAAGTTTGAATGTCCAACCAAATTTCTCTTGAGGCTTGGGACCCTTAACTCTAGATGTGTTTAGGACCTGCATCTCCAGAAGTCAGGTAGAGATTTACTATTATTTGATCAGTTGTAAGATTGTACCTTGTGCAGGTCAGAAAGTTGCTGGTGTCTAATGAGTGCCTCTTTATTAGGGAACTGTCTTCTGCACAACAGACAGGCCATTTTCTTCCAATCTGTCAGGTTCTCATCTCCATCTTCAGTCTTTTCTTGCTCTTCTTCCGTGTCACTTTCTCCACTGTAAGCTGCAACAAGAGCATGTGGTGGGCTTGTTTTCCTCTGAAAATTAAAGGAAAGCACAAAAGTAAGTTTCAAATATATAAAATCACCTTGGTTGATCCCGTAGTATACTTCACATAAGCCACTTGAACCAATCAAATTCTGCCTTTAACCATAACCAGAAGAAAATTGTAAATTTACATTGCGACTCAATGTATGCACTCTCCTGGGTGTTATCTTTTTGCTTTGTTGTCCTTTCCCCCTGAATTGAGCAATTGAAAATGTGTAGAACGAGTCAGCACCAGAACCCAGCGCCCCTGTACCTGCTTGCTCTCCCAGGAGTAATTCTAGAACTTGCACTAATCCAGTCAAATTAATAAATCATTAAATTAATAATTTCCTCCGAATCAGAGGGCTATTCGAATTTAGAATGCTTAATCATATATGGTTGTTAAAGCTCGGTCAATAGAAGCATATACAAAAGACAATTATATAAACACTTAAAGGAAAATAATCTGAAAAGATGTTGGGGGGGGGGGGGGGGGGATGGTAGAGAATAGGATTAAATAGTTACAACAAATTCAGTTCCGGCTTCCGAGCAGCATTCCAGAGGGTCAGCTGTGACCCCTCCTTTCATAGCTGCAGAATTAAAGCCCTCCCCCCCCATATACGTGATAACAAAACCTTGTATTTGATACAATGCCTTTCATGTCAGAAGCACATCTCAAAATGCTTCCCAGGTTTACTGTAAATAGTAGTGACTTATACACCTACCAGCTGCATGGTGCTGTAATCGCGCTAACCTGAATATTCTTCCCACCCATCGAGCTAACTCAAAGAGCTAAGGCAGCCTTGCAGACCATTTCTAAACTGTCAGCATTCTATAAAGCAGCAAATATGTTGATATTTCCCAACCTTTAACATGTAGTCCTCATCGTCCGCAGATCTCTTCATGGCTTCCATTGGAACTTGCAGTCTTTCTGGAAAAGCACCCTGTTGTAATTATAACAAAACATTTAGAGTAACGTTGTGACTTACCAGTGGAATAATCTTCCAATGGAAAGATTCACAAACCTTTTTCTCAAACAAGAAAAAGCCAGCATCAGCCGCTGCAGCCTCCTTTCGCTCATCTTCTTTGAGTGCGCTCAGTGGCAGAAAGCTAGTTTTGAAGTTTTCTTTCTGTTTGTTCAAACTCTTAGCCCATCGCTCCATGTCTTTGGCAATCTGATATAAATAACATTGTTAAGCCACGACCATTCTCTTGATCAAGAAAGCAAAACGTATACAACACTTTTTCACATGGTATGCGTGTTACACTCAAAAACAAAATCTGCATACTTTTAAGAGCCTTATTTGGTAGTTAAATGTTTCAGTACACTTCACAGATCATTAATGTCTAAGAAGATCATTACTTATAAGTGATTCTGTTTGTAGGCAAATTAAATGGTCATTTGCCTCAAGAAGATCCCTCAAAGTCATGGAGTGAATGATAACTATCCTTTCATTTGATATAGTGCCTTATAACATTGTTGAGACGTCTCAAAGCGGTACACAAAATACACTGTAAAGTGAACTGACTGTATATTTTGTGGGCGAAACATGGCAGCCAATTGCGCACAGCAGTGTCCCACACAGTTAATGGATTGAGTGACCAAATTCTTATTTTTTTTAAGGGATTATTACACCAGAAATTGATCTGCCAAGTGACTTAACATCCATGTTCCTAAATGCTGCTAGGTAAACAGGCGTGTGGAGTAAGGAAATTTGCGGAGGTTTCACTCTGCCCAGGATTTGAACACGGGTCCTCTCTCTTACAAGGTAAAGTGCTCTAACCAATATGCTACAGGACTCCATATAGATTCTTAGTATGTCAAGACATCTCAAAGTACTTCACAGGTTAAAGTTGTGTGACTGTGTACTTTGTGTGGGCGAATGCTCAACTGTTGGATTGTTGGCTAGGAGAAACTCCTTTCTCTTCTCAAAGTATCTTTAAAATCCATCTGAACAGAAAAATGGGACCTTCATTTAAAAATAGCTCAAGCGAAAGACAACGCCTCTGACAATGCAGTGTTCCTCCCCTACTGCACTGAAGCTCAAATCACAATGTGAGGTTTAAGCCCACAATAGTCTAACCTTAGCCCTAACACCACTGAGTGAAAGTGCAGACAATAAATAGAAGTAAAAGTGAAAACATGCAGGACTGCTAGGACATGGGCTCATATTGCTAATACACTATTCCTTGATTTGCCAAAGGAGGTGCACAGTGACGATAAGGTACATGTGGGTGCATCAGCCAAGGTGTGCTGTGCCCTAAGTCTAGCTTGGTAAATGAGCATTCACTCCAGTAAACAAGATTCTCGAGAAACTGCACAATTTCAAAGAATCCCACCTGTGGAAGCAAGTTCAAACACAACTTTTATGCTTCAGGAAGTGCTCATTACTGATGCCTGCTGTCAGTTCTATAAAGGTTCCTTACTTGCTGAGCAGTTTTACTCTTGGGCTTCTCTTTCTTCTCTTTGCCATCTTTATTTGCTGCGCCAGCAGAGGCGTTCTGCTGTGCAGTGTATTCTGAGGCAGGAAGGTACTTCTGCTTTTCCTTGTCCCAGTACAGGTACTGCTGAGTCTGTGAATTGTAGTAGTACTGAAACAAGCAAAATGAAAGTTTCAAAAACAAGCTGTCAGTAGTATCGGGTATCAACATTATACTAATAGGGTCACCCAACTGCATACTATTTATTATAGCTGAAGCACTAAAAGCATTCACAATGAAGCCTTAGTAACTGACTGCCCAAAAGCCTTCACACTGAAATGGTCCGACACAGATTCATGCCAGTTTACAGTGGGAACCTTGACAGACACATTCAACACGATGGTAGAGTGGAGGATTTGGGGGACACAGAGAAAGCCGGACTCAGTAGAGGGGAGGCAGCAGGTACTGCTGTGGGGAGAGAGGAGGTTAAAGAGATAGGGAGTGACCAAGGAATGGAGGAATGTAAACACTAGAGTGAGGATCTTGAAGTCGATCCGCTCTGCGACAGGGAGGCAATGGAGTTTGGCAAGGACTAGAGTAATTGGGGTAAAAAGTTTGGTGTGGGTAAGAATGCGGGCGGTGGAGTTTTGAATAAGCTGGATTTAGTGAATAGTGGAGGAGGGGAGCCCGGCGAGGAGGACTTCAGAGTAGTCCAGCCGAGAGGTGACAAAGGCATGGACAAGGGTTTCGGCAGCTTTTGGCATGAGGTATTGTCGGAGCCGGGCAATGTGGCGGAGGTGGAAGAAAGCGGTGCTGGTCAAGGAGCGGATGTGAGGGAGGAAGGATAACTGGGGCCTAAGTTGCGCTCGGATTCGGAGAGTTTTTAGGACATGTCGGGTAGGTTGAGGAGGTCTGAACCATGGGACATAAGACGTCGGTGGAGCTGACAGAACATCAGGGGGACTGGGGGTCGCAGGTGGAGGTGGAAAAGTCGAGTTGAGTGTCATCCGCATACACGTGGAAGTTAAACCCGCGTCTGCGGATGACATCACCGAGAGGGAGCATATAGATGAGGAAGAGAAGGGGGCCAAGGATGGAGTCTTGGAGTACCCCGCAGGTGACTGGCTGGAAGCAAGAAGAAAAGCCATTTGCAGAAATGTAGTGCTGGTGGTTTTGTGAGGTAGGACTCGAACCAAGCGAGTGCGGTCCCACTGAGGTGGATGATGGAGGAGAGGCGGTGGAGGAGGAAGGCATGATCGACTGTGGTGGAGAGGTCCAAAAGGATGAGGAGGCAGAGGGAGCCCTGGTCACAGATAGAGAGGTACAACAAACAAACAGTGATGTGATAAAAACAAATTAACCAGAACAATTATAATTTTAGTAGTAGTGTTTTTTACCTGTGAGTTGACATCATAGTATAAGCCAGTCTGTGGATCATAGTAAAATCCAGACGTTTCATCGTACTGGTAACTTGATACATCTGGGGCAGCTTTAAAACATAAAAAGTAAATTATTCCAGGCAGAAATCCCTCTTAAAAATTACACTAAAATTATCAATCCTTTTCCAGATAAGAAAACCAATTCAATTTTGGAAGCTGATAACTTTGTTTTAAAGCCATTTCTTACAGTATTTGGACTCAGAGGAACTGCCAGCTTGACCCATGCCTGTTTGATTAACAGTTGTCGATGGATGTTCATCTTCTGCCTGCTGGAAACAAAAATTCATTGATTAATTGTACTGATTAGTCCTTTCTCCTCATCTTCACTTCTTAGATACATAAACTTAGATTATTTAAAAATATCTAACAAGGCAATAGTAATAATGGACAATGAAACTGTAACAAGGACGTTGGAAGCCCTGGAACACAGCTGGTGACCATGCCTTTTCAACAATTTCCTTTCTCTCTTAAAAGTATTCATGCATTTCATCACATTGTTAACTGGGAGTCCAGAATGGGATTAGGAGGAACATTCTCCACAGAGAGTTGTGTGAGTGTGGAATCCTCCGACAGTCAGACGGCAGCTGTGTGCACATTAAAAAAAAGACTGGAGACACATGGTTGAAGGAGAATAAAGTTGAGGGATACAGAGAAACGGCTGGAATAAGGGACGGACTAGGATGGACTATAAGCACTGGATTATAAGCACTGGATGGGCCCAATGGCCGGTCTAGACTGGTCACTAACAGTTTATGCCATCATTGTGAATTCTTTGTAAGAATATATATATCGTGTTTACTAAAGCAGAGAGCCCCTCCACGAGAAGCAATATAACATCTACAACAACTTGCATTTACATAGCACTCCTCACACAGGATAGTCCCCCAGAGCACGCGACAGTGGCGGAGCACGGCACCAAGCCGGGAGTGGGGGCAAAAGATGACCGCAGGCAGTTGAAGAGGAAGGTCTTCAGCCTCGATCTGAAAATGGGGAAGGAAGAGGCAAGGTGGACAGATACAGGAGGTGTTCCAGAGGCAGGGCGTAGTGGCTGATAGCACAGCCACCAATGGTGGAACAGAGGGCATGAGGTACATGCAGAAGGCCAGAGCCAGTCAAGTGGAGGCAGTGGGTTGGGGTATAAGCAGATGGGAGAGGGAGATAGGGAGGTGCCAGAGCATGTAGGGATTTGGAAACGAGTGCAAGGATTTTGAAATCGACCCATTTGGTGACTGGGAGCCAGTGGAGCTCAGCTAGAACTGGTGTGATGGGGGTACGGAGTTTAGTACCGGTGAGTATGCGGTATACGTATGGCTGATCTGTATCTCATTTTCCCGCCCTTGCCCCATATCCCTTAATACCCTGACCTAACAAACATCTATCCAACCTCAGTCTTGAAAATGTTACCAATGGTGTAGCACGAGGAACATGCAGGAGGCCGGAGCCAGTCGATCGGAGGTAGCGGGTTGAAGAGTAAGGAGGTAGGGAGGTGCCAGAGCATGAAAGGATTTGAAAACGAGAGCGAGGATCTTAAAATTCATTAGTTCGGCGATAGAGCCTGTCTAGAACTGGTATGATGGGGGTACGGAGTTTAGTATGGTGGCGGAATTTTGGATTAGCTGGATTTTATGGATGGTGGAACTGGGGAGACCAGCGAGGAGGGCAATTGGGTAGTCGAGGCGGGAGGTGATAAACACACGGAAGAGTATTTCAGCTGAATCTAGGTAAGGTACGGTCAGAGGCAGGTAATATGGCATAGCTGGAAGAAGGCGGTCCTGGTCAGGAACCGAATATGGGGTAGGAAGAACAGATGTGAGTTGATCCTGACGCCTAACTTGCGCACTGTCAGTGCACACAGTTCATCTGCATCTTAGTTGAATACTGTACTAAGTGAAGACACATTTGAGGAAGATGCAATAGAATTGGCTGGGGAAAGTAGAAAAGATATGTATACCAATGGTACCTTACCTGAGCACTTTGCTGGTAGCTCTGTGCACGTCCTGAATACACTGGAGCACCTTGAGCTTGTGATGTGGTAGCATTTGGGGATGTGCTAACAGCAGGAGCTAAATCAAATCAAACCTGATATTAATATCGAGTCTAGTAATTGCATTCTTTGACTCAAGTGAAAACCAAAAGTAAAGCCGCAATGTTAGAAAACATAGAAAAGGCTATTCAACCCCTAAGTCCACTCCTACCAGATGACACAAAGCCTACCTCATTATTTCACTGGAATTTCCTCTCCTGTAGATAGTTTTGCATATTGTTCCTGATACTCAAAAGTAATCGATCCAAAATTCCACAATAATTTTCCACATCTCCTCTAACCAATCTTGCCCTCTACAAATAATCTCCATCCCAAAAAAGTATTGTTGGTGTGTGGGCACGCTGACATGGAGGTAAGTAGGAGGAGCAGAGAAGAGAATCTTTCCAAGCTCTAGGATTGTACATTTTAAACCTATGTGCTCCAGTTTTATAGTTCACATCCATTTAAAAACCCTGCTTACATCAACAAGCTTCTCAGCATTTTTACGAACTAGATCAGCAACTTATTTTTTCTAGTTGGCAATCTTTAAAGTAAAGAAAAACAGCATGGCAATACAAACTAGCAGGTTTATTAAGATGGATAAAGTAACAGCAGGCTTGAAGTGAAAATTTAAATCAGTGTACGAATTGGATTTAGGAATAGTACATCTGAATAGCACTAAACATGATGACAATGACCACAAGAAGGTTATTACAAGTATGTTGTACAAGTTCAGTTTTGTAACATCTGGACATACATTTTGGAGCTTTTCTAAAGTAGAAATTAGCTACAGAATAACTATGAAACCACCTGTGAATTTATTCAGTTACAAAACTATCTGTATCAGTGGCTGTGGTAGCATTCTGGTATTAAGTGTTGTTAAGTGCTTATTTTAGGTATACAAGAGAGCAATTACTGCTTACCAAACCAAAAAAAAGCAAGCCCAATTCAATTTATTGCAATATTTATAATCAGAACTGACAACCACATGCAAGATTTATGTCAACTAGCTATTTCTTAGGACTCAAATTTGCCATCCCTCAAGTAATCTGAGTTGTAGCTGATCTGCTGAATTGCTCAGCAGACACAAAAGCATAGGATTTAGCTTCTCATTTCAAAAGGGAACACTGGACATCCTACCTGTGAGAGTTGCCGCTGCCTGATAAGTGACCGGTGGTTGTTGCTCCACAGAGGTGTGTGGAAAGTACGGATATTCTTGCGAGTACTGTAACAGTCATGCACACTTTATAGTTAGAGCGTTATTTAAGATTGCATTTACATAATACATTGAAGATACTATGTGCAATACCAACAAGAAAAGCTTCACGTAATTTGAAACTGCAGATCAGCTGTCTGTTAAATCAATTTTGTTGGGGGGCTGGGGGTTTGTACTTCTTCGTTTTCAGATGCCACTCACTCCTCAATATTACTCAATCATCCTCCATGAGAGGACCCTGAAACTCATACATACCTGTGCGTAATGTTGACCATAGCCATCATGTCCAGACTGTTGGAGGTAGTTGTAATCCAAGTTCAATGTGTCTGAAACCTGCTGGACCTTTAACATTGAGAAATTGGACATCAAAAGCAGAAAATACATCAGCAATTGGGAATAAATGATTTGAGAGCCTGTGAATCACTTTGTAAAGAATATGCTGTAAAGTGTAGTGACTATGTATTTTGGGGTGAAACACGCCAGCCAATTGCGCACAGCAGTGTCCCACAAACAGTCGTGAATTGAATGATGTAATCAATAGATGTAATGAATGCATGTATGAGGGTCTCTGGCTTGAGGGGCGAGGCAGTGGTGTAGTTGGACAATGTTGCGGATGTGGGGGAAAGCAGAGCGGGTCATGGCACGGATGTGGGGTAGAAAGGACAGTTGCGGAGGCGTTGAGCCAATCAGGAGAGCTTCGGTCTTGTTAACATTCAACTGAAGAAAGTTAACTCTCATCTAACAGACATTCCGTCCGGACAGCAGTGGTCCTGGAGCAAAGGGTGGAGGCAGAGAGATAGAGTTGGGGGTTATCCGAATACTTCTCTTCCACGACTATACGCATGGAAACACATATTCTCTGACCGCAAGGATCGACAAGCAACTATCCTAAAACATATTCCAAGATTCTATTTATCCACGTGCACAAAAATACAGCTGTATGTAATCAGTCCCACTTTTTCGCCACTCTTGATGGTAAAGAACATCGGCAGACTACGGCACTACCTCACCCCTCATGCTGCTGAAACACTGGTCCACGCCTTTATCACCTCAAGGCTGGACTATGGGAACTCTCTCCTCGCCGGCCTTCCCAGCACCTCCCTCCACACTGCAGGTCATTCAGAACTCTGCAGCTCGTGTACTGTCCCGCACCAGACTTCGGGACCACATCACTCCCACCCTCGCTCGCCTCCACTGGCTCCCCATCCCCCAGAGGATCGAATTCAAGATCCTCATCCTCACCTACAAGGCCATTCACGGCCTTGCACTCTCCTACCTCTTCGACCTACTATCCCCCCACGTACCTGCCCGTACCCTCCGTTCCTCTGGCTCCGGTCTGCTGTACATCCCCCGCCCTAACCACCCTACCATCGGTGGCCGGGCTTTCAGCCTCTCAGCCCCATGGCTCTGGAACTCCATCCCCCAGTGCCTTCGCCACTTCCTCCCTTTCTTCCTTGAAGGCCGTTCTCAAGACCTTTCTCTTTGACCGTGCCTTCAGCTCCCCACTCGACTCTCTACCCCTTCCTCACTCCCTCCCTTCCCTCCCCTCACCCTGACCATTTCCCCCCCGACCCAACTGTCCAGCGCCTTGGGACGTCCTCCCGACGTGAAAGGCGCTCTATAAATGCAATCTTGTTGTTGTTGTAAAGAACAATGAGCTCTTAATCTATTAATAATGGAGTTCTTGACCATTAACAAATACTTCAGTCCTACACCACTGAAGTGAAACTGTATACCTTGCTTTTTACTTCACATTAATTATCTCTAGCCCAACAGAACTATTTGGAAAATAAGGCTTAACTTAAAAAGATACTGCATTAATCACATTGATTTTGAGAAGAAAATCCTACCTGGCTGGACGACCACTGAGCTGCAGCGATGGCTGTACTTGCAACAGTCATGGCACTGACTCGGTTTCCATCGGCGGTAAAGAGATCCCTGTACATGAAAGCAAGTTCCATAAGTCTTAAAATGTTCATAGTTACCAATCTATATGGCTGAGGATGATTGTGACCAGGCCGCTAATGAACAAATCCAGCCCCAATTACATGGAGAATGCAGCAAGAGTTCTCGAGTCTGTCCAATAAAGTTCACGATTTGGCAGATGGACCAAGAAATAGTACTGATGGCATTAAATCACTGTCATTTGGAACAGTGGATTGGTCAGACTGCTCAGATATAACAAGATCAGAACCAAGGCAACTTTCCTGATCTTAGCTGCATTTTCAGTAACGGGAAGAGAAAATAATATTTTGTTTCAACAAAACATCATACATGAGGTGTGTGGAACACATACAATGATTGCACCAGAGACTTTTCACAAAATATTCCTGTCACAGTGAAACTTCCAACCTCTGTTAACTATTGGAAACCATGAAGTAGAAGCCAGACTCAAGAGCCAGCCACCTCAGGCCTGCTCCTGCATATCTAAGAGGTTGGCTATCGAGCAACATTGATACTGTCTCCAAGCCATCCTTTCAGTTTGGGATATGTGTTGGCATGGACAATTTTCTGACAAAAAATTTTAAGATGGTATTTGAGTACGATGGTTTACCATCATGTAATACCAGTGTGGCCGAACTGATTCAATCCCCCAACTCCTCAATTCTTAGTCTCAACAATGTTAAATGTGGATCAAATGTCAACAGATTAGATGACATCTCACAGAGGAAGCGGGAAAAAAAATCTGAGGAATGTCATCCCCAGGCCACCGTCATGCACCTCCTGATGCCTGTATCGGAGTGAAATTGATCCATTATGTTCATGGGAGGACTTTTTGCAATAGGAGTGATCGGTGACGGTGGCAGTCCAAAGCTAAACCAGTTCAGTTACAAGGTCAGTTACTTACTTCCTTGCACTCTTTGCAAAATCAACACCAATAGTTTTGCCATCAATGCTCAGAGGTGGCTGTAAGGACTGGAGTATCTGAAGAAGCTGAGACGCCTCCTGTAAGTTGCAGAAGGGGAGGAAACAGCGAGTCGTCAATTTGGTTACATTAAACTTCTCAATTGGGTCATGAGGAGCAGTACCACTGGGGTAGTGGGGAAGGAAGGCACCGCAAAGATTCCAGTTCCTCTGCGATGTTTGATAGTTGCATTCTTTTAAGGGTTTGATTCCTTTCTTTGGACAGCTGTATTTTAAAATTTGGCAATGGTATACAGCTTTGATACAGGTTAATAAAAAATGGTGGCTTTCAAGATTCACACCAAATATCACAAGTAAATTTGAATTGTATATATTTCTTCTACACTTTAGGCCAAGGAAACTAAGGAACACTCACCTACAATCAGCAAACCCTCCAGAGGTTAAACACTAACATTTCATTTTCTCTTACAAGAAATGCAAACATTGAACATAAGAACATAAGAATTTGCTAGGCGAAAGAAGACCATCTAGTTCGCCTTCCACCATCCTGGCAGTCGCTTGACATGTCGTGTCCCAAGCTATATACTGTATCCCAAGATATTATTTTCTGGCAGAAATCTATCTAATTTGTTCTTGAAACAAACATTTTCTGCTTCAACTGTCTCTCTAGAATATTGAAGGCAACATAGAATATTGCAGTCAATTATAAGAACTTTGCAACAAACTACCAACAACAAATCCTACTGGTGAGGGACTGGTAAATTTCATGGATTTGTCAAGATAGGATAGAAGGTGTTGTTGGCTCATGGGGATCCAGACATGCCTACAACTCCCAAGTCCTACTGAGGAACCAGGCAGGATAGTGAACCACGATGACTAATGTCTTGGATTTGATATAACACCTTAACACACCATTGAGACATCTCAAATAGCTTCACAGAATATATTGTAAAATGAATTGATCGTGTTTGTGGGCGAAATTGTGCATTAGGCAACACTGTTTATCTACCTTTCCCTTGTGGAAAACTAAGTACAAAAAGTAACCTGTTTCAGGTTACCAGGGGTAAATTAAGCTTTAATTTCTAAGATGTTTGAATTTAATACACTGACTAAATGGAAGTCTGCTGTGTTCTTAACAGTAAAGAAATATGATTACACACTGACCCTTCCCAGCTCCATTTGAGCACTGGCTCAGATAAAATTAGTCCAATGTGGCACTAACTGGCTATCTCAGAAGGGGCTCTGGGGTGGCTAGTGAAGAAAATAAAGTACATTGTTGAGCCTCTGAGACAGAGCAAAGCACTTTGCTCTGAATTTAACCAACCTGGGATTTTCTGGAAGCTCACACTGAGTTACCAAAGTTGTTACTGCAAGGCTCAGTATTGTTGAACAAAGGGCAGGTTTGCATACACAATTGTGTGTTGCATGACATTTTTTTGGACACATTGTAGTACTTCATAGGGAGATATGAAAATGAAATTAGAGAAGCCACTCTTGCACAATTTAGTGGTCACTTACAGTCAAGCTTTTGAATGAGCATGAAAAAATTGTTCGTCCAGTGCATAGGATTGCATGGGGAATGGTTTCCAAAAGGAAATAAAATTCAATCCTATACCATATCACAAATGATGCACGATCAACTCTGATTATTAGGGGCGGGGGGGGGCGATGAAGAGAAAACAGCCAAACTTACCACAATGGAAGCTAGCTGTACAAAGGCAAAGCCTCTGTTCAGTTGGGTTTGCTTGTCCTTGATTAACCGAATGTTGGAGAGAGACAATGCGGCATATGGAGAAAGTGCACTCAAAATACACTCCACTGATGTATGAGGGCTAATATTTCTTAAAATGACAGCTGTTTGAAAAATACAAAAAAAACTTATGTAAATCTGTAAAGCACAAGCCATATATCCAGCTCATATGTACAATTCTCAGAAAGCTTTCAAGGAGGAAAAACTTAGCATGGTTAGGTCAATGAATTTGATCCATCTCAGAGAACCTTAGTTTAAATATAGTCCAACCATGATGTAATAACAAGTATTTCCTTATTGTTTATTCATAATCTGGCAAGTGAAAATATCAATTTAACTTCAATTGATAAATTACATAAGATAAACATAGAACGTTCCAGCCAACAAATCCATTCTTTCCACAGAATTTAGGATATTAATAGCATTAATATTAAAACACACACACAATTACTGTTATAATGTGATACTACGGGTCCAATATCTAAGACCACAAGGCAGCACCGACATCACTTCCTACATGCTGTGGCTATGCAAAGGCACCGCGCAAGCTTGCCCTACACCCTGCAAAAGTTTGCCCTGTGCCCTGCATAAGCTTGCCGAGCGCAAGGAGGCCCTCTGACAAATTGAATTCCATTGCTTACCTCTCCCTCAGATGGATTTTTGTCTATTGACTACGACCTCCTGCTCCATTCAAAGATGGATTGGTAATCTAACTATTCAATTTGCTATAAATTCCAAAATACTTAATCTTAGTCATATGCATAATCAAGCGCTCAGAAATTTCTGGTACGTTACACATACCAGATGAATGGAAAGCCTCATCAAAGAGATGCAACATACATTCCTCAGATGGCCAGCATAAAATCATACAAAATCGTACTGAACGATTACTGAAAAAATAATTGTTTGAACTCACTGTCACTGTAGTAGTCGGGTGATTGATGAAAGTCTACTGAAGACGGCTGATCCTGTTCCGACTCTGAACAAAAGAAAAAAACAATCTCATGAGAAGGTGATTATAGAAGTGATATTGTGTGAAATCTAAAATATAATTTACATCTATGCCTTTACATTGTAAGGCCATCTCAAAGGAACATGCCCAAAAAACAAAACTTGCAGAATAGTTTTAAACAAAAAAAGGTTTAACAAGGAAGCTCTACCTCTGCAACTGTTTTCTTCACTCTTCTCACACTCCCAAGTACCCAGCTTTATATTGGTGCTCAATTATTCCTAAGGGCTGGTGCCCAATTATCACAAACTCCTATCAAACCTGATTGGAGTACAGACCTTGTTAGCTCCCTTTATACATAGGTTGAACGCAAATAACCATAAAAGGTTTATCACCCTGTCACTGATGGATGTCTCTGAATTAATAGCTGGTTGTGTGGCAAGAATCCAAATCCCACTTGCACTCAATGTATTCACTCTTTTTTTCCTTTTACTTTCAAATTATTTTCTTCCATCTTAATTTCACTCAATGTTCATGAAGTGTCGCTGGCAGAGTGTGGCTACTGTGTTTGCTTGTATCACGTTCATTTCATTTTGATTTCACAATTATAAAATGTTTCAAGGCGTTTATTTTTGCAGGAAGGGTGCTGTACAAGTTATATTATTAAGTGAAATTAAGGGTGTAACCCATCTGAGGTTTGCTATGTAGACTATCAGCTGCAATTCTAAATCCCAGTTGGGTATGCCATTGGAATAAACTTTCCAGGTTGTGATAAGTCAGTAATTCTTGAGGAACCCTCAAACAAAATGCAGTTTGTTGTTTAAGATCAAAGTTGCAACTAATTTTAGTCCTACAAATCCGATCATTTTAAAATTGAAAAAGAAAATCAGAGCAGTGTTCTAACTTGCCATTCACATATTGTAAGAAGCACACTGTTCAAGAGGAATGCCTATAACAAAATGAAATGCTTGAAAATGTCATTTAAACTTAACCAAGGGGGCTCTCCCAATAGATGATTGGTAAAATAGGCCATCAGTCCAAAAATACAGCGACTTACCAGACTTGGAAGCTCCACACTTGAAACATTTTTCTCGTCTCTTGAAGTTATATATACCACACTAGGTTTTTAAAAACAGTAAATAATTTCATGAATTCCAGATGTTATATCCCCATTTCAATAAACATTTTTTACAACAAATATGCCACATATAAAACAGGGTAAGGATAAATTACCTCACTATTACCAAGATCTAACAGAATTTCTGAGATAAGTCTCTAGGATGACTAAGACTGTCTCTAAGAGAACTTGATAGATGAAAGAAGCATCTTTGTCATACTTGTTGGATAAACAAGATATTTTCACGTCCACAAAGATTCATAATCCCAACAATGTCAAGCATCCACTGAGTACAATTTATCCAGGTGAACCACCTTATTAATTTCCAAATGGGAAAAACCATCAAAACATAGCAAACCTCCTGGCTGTCAGTGGGGAAAATCCTTGAAGGCTGAGCGCTATTTATAAATGATAATCCTTGCATTTGTTATAGCATCTTATCTTGTTGTCAAACGTTTACACTAGTCTCAAAGCACGTCACAAAATTTTTCTCTAATGTGTAGTAACTGTGTATTTGAAGGGGAATATAGTTTGTAGTGCAAATATGTGATGAATGCCTCAATGCCATACTACCATTTCTTAGAAGAACATGTGAAGCACTGAGATGTTCCTCAATAAGGCACTCTAGCAAATCCAAAGATTATTATTACATTTGCGCTATGCTCTTAGGTGAGATAATGGACAAAGGGCGATCTCAATTAGGGGTGGGAAAGAGAGCCGAGTGAAGAGAAGAAAGGATAAAAGAGAAGAAAAAGGAGCCCAATGGAGGTTTCTACACAAGTCCTGGCAGAGGGCTAAGTATGAGCTGCCAGCACCACACTCTAAAGAGAGGCTACAGCTCAAGACACCCAAAAGTGAGGAACGACAATTAAAAATAAACGTATATAATTAAAAATACTAATGGCAATACGATTTGCACAAATAAAAATACCTTGCCACAAAGCCAGTCTTCATAAGCCTTGGGTCGTGGATTGCTGTAGTGCATGGTGATATACTTCCCTTGTACAGTCAGTTGTTTCTGCAAAAAACAAATCGTAATTTAGCATTCCTTCGAGGCAAATAGTCAATATTCCCATGGCAGTGCACACGTGTAAGGATGGGAGTTAGTTCTCCCAAATTAGTGATTGATGTATGCATTTATGTATGTAACGGGAAGGGGGAGCCCAGGAGACCGAAGTACTGTTACCTACTGCCCATCCTATTTAGTCTTCAGTAAGATGGAAGTAGGCCAAGTCGTAAAAGGTCCAGTTGGAAAGGTATTACCATAGCGGTCTAAAGAGGCACACACACACACACACACACACAGTATCATACTCGTCAATACTTGCATAATAATAATTACAATTTTTTCCACCTTCGAGTGAAGCCTTTTGGATCAAGTTTCAACATGATTTTCAATTTGACTACGTGGTTACTTTAGCGTCTTACATTCCCACCAATAATGGAATCTACTGCCTGATCTAAAATCCCTGAATAGATCTGAGGTACAGCTCAAGCAACACTAAGCGCAATTAACATCACTTAGTTACCTCTGCTCTGGCCTGGGTACTTTCGTCCTTAATAATAATAATTGTGGCTTTATGCGCCTTTTTAAAAAAAAATGTTGTATTTTGAACTATAAACAAGTTCATCAATGCAAATATAGAACATGATAAAATTGGTATTACATGTTTTGTTCTAAAACCAAAAAGTACAGGGGAAAAAGCAAGCTCTATGGTTTTAGGAAGAGATTGTTGATGGTATTACTGAATGTTTTAAAACATCACAAGCATAGCATTATTATAAATTAGAAAATGTGCAAAGGGTTTGCAAAATTTATATTAAAATACAAGTTTTGATAGAAATTGCAAACTCGAAATAATTTATAATGTACTTTGTACAAGTCAGGAACAGCTGTGTATCCTCATCAGCTGCTGCTGAGCTGTAGTCCTAACAGTGGAAGTGTATGTCAGGCACCTGCTGGATATGGTTCATCAAAAAGGGATGACCCAAACTAATGCACAAGTGGGAAATACTGAACTATATATCAATATGTAGCATTTTTAGTCAATGTCAATATGGGGAAATATCTGAACAGATTTGAAGCAAAACTGCACACCTCAAACACCATATAGTTTCAAAGCAATTTACAGAAACAAAAATTGCAGAAATAAGTGTATGAATGCGTGTATGAAAAATTCGCATCAACACTGAAAAAACAAATTGGGGTAGTAAATAAACTAGCAATTTGCCGTACTTATACAATGTTACTGTGTGAAGCTACATTTATTCACCGTGTGGTTCTCATTCCAAAAACAAAATCTTCCTACTTAAAAGAACGTTTCATAATCGAACCTCACTTAACTCAATTTCAATTTTGATGTGTGGACAGCTTTAGCAGCCATGAATTAATGAAATTTTACAAAATAATAGGAAATAAACATAAACTCTTTAACCCAGCCCAATTTTGCTCCTAAACCCCAATAACAATTCTACCTGCTGGACCAATGATATTTCCCTCAACCAAGCAGCCTTATTGTCGCTATTAATAAGACTGTAACTCACAAAATGTTGCTATCTTAGTCAGTAAGAAATAAGCTGACAGTGCAAATCAGTTTTGCCTGGTAAAAAGTGTAGAAAAGAATCTTTCACTCAAAGGGCCATACTTCAACTCAGCAGAAACATTCAAGTAAATGCTGAAATCAAATACATCATTCATCTCAACTAGATTCATTGGAAGGCTACCCTGAAGCAATGGGTTGGTAACATTTCTCCTGATCACTTATAATCAATACCCAAATGGCAGTAACGATACTTCAATCACTTAAGCTAAGGCGCCAGTTGCTTAATGGATCAGAATCCCTGTTTTCAGGAGTTTGTCTGAATTACATAATAGTGAGCATCTACACACACATCCAACATGTTGGTCTCTTATGTTCAAGTGTGTGGATCACAAAAACGACCATGCTGGCCATTTAGTCACCAGAAATGAATAAAGCATCTGCGAGCAGAACCAATTCAGTCAATTATTGTAGATCTAGCATTGTGCCTGGTTTCAGAGTAGTGCACGCCTGAGGCGATCACCTGACTAATCTTAAAAGGTAAGATTCGGGAGAGAAAAATAATCAAAATATTTTAATTAAATATCTGTTTATAGTCATTCCCTGCTGAGGTTTATGCTCAGCAGCAACTTGCTTTTCGAGATTTTTTTTAAAAATCTGCTTGTGATCCTAAGTGCACAATCACATTCTACTTGTATTTTAATAAAAATGCCTTTGACTGATTATTCTGTATAAACCACATATGCAGAGCTGATAACAAGCACAAATATAAAGTAACACATAAATTTACATGAAATTAATGACTTCAGGTCGCCTGACTTACAAAGTCTGGCTATGTAGCATACTTTCCAGCAGATGGAGACAGAAGGCCACAGAAGCCAGAATCAAGTTTGCTGTTCTCCCTAACCCTCTCACGATTCAGTAGATGGAGGCAAAATTAATGCAATCATATGGCATGCTCTGCATTCTTCTATCCACAAAAATCATCACTCTTTAATTTGCACATGTTCACATGGTCCTTTACGAAAAATTTGCCTTGGCACTGCTCTTGTCTGGTTCAGTCTGTCCTCTTGCCTTAACAGAACCATCATCTGTTTGGGGGTCTCGACCCTCAGATCCTCTTTAGGGATGAGAGTGCTATACTAAATATTGCAATCTTATAAAAACCTTCAGATTTATTTAAATAATAATACAAACACATGAATTTACATTAAACTATTGACTTTAGGCCAGTTTGTCTCCTGCAAACCCTTTCAAAAAAATTACAAAAGATCCACCTCGGATTGTGCTTTTACCCATTTCTAAATTCATCTTACAACATGCCAATGTCTACTACTCCTATTGTTAAGTGTTCTGAGACATGGACGTAACCTTAAAAGTACCTTTCTTCCTTATTAAATTTTGTATGAGCACAGCTGCTTCCCTCCCCCCACTCTCTTCCCTTATACTCTCATTGTTTTATACAACAAGAATAGTTGATGTAACTGTGGTTTAAACATTTAATGAATTGTACTTGTAATCAGTTCCAAAGAATGCAATTCATACAGAATTTTACAGGGAAAACCAAAAAAAATCCACTCGTTTTGGACGATTTCCCCCCTGTGTCATTACATCAATTTCAAATACAGACAACTTGATCCTTTTTATTTTTTCCCAAGAAATCTAGACTTGTGATGAAGCAACCTGATTGGCTTCCATCCATCTTGTTGCGTCCTGCAAGTGATTAAACTCCACGAAGGCGAAACCACGGCTTTGACCTAGAGACAGCATTCAGATATAGACGGGATTGTGTTAGTCAATGGGTTTTAAAGCAGCCATTCTCAGATGAATCTGTCAAGTCACCCTCGTGCTTCAAAGCGTCTCCATTTACAATTTTGTGAAGCAGCGTTTCTGTGTGACCTCATTTTTCCTTTTCTTTGCCATGGCAAGGAATTGAACAGTGCAAAATTCAACATACTCTAGGATTAACAATACTGAAACATATGAAAAAACATTTTTCACATAAATCATGACAAACTAACCTTCAATGCAGGATATTCCACTCGTTACGCACCTGTATCCTGGTGCCAGTTAATGTTGCATTTTCTGTATGTTATTTAGTTGTTACTATGTGCATAATGTATAAAGGGAGGTGGGGAGACACTAGCAGATCACATTGGAGCAACAAAGGAAGATGGGAGAAAAGGAAAAGAGAAAGGAACAAAAAAAACACAAACAGGACATTGTGCAAAAGATTGCTTCCTGCTCTTTTATGTCATAGGAACTTTTTTTAAAAAAACAGACAGTTTTTTAAAAAAGTTCCTAAGTCATAATTTTTAGACACTAGCTACTTACTTATAGTAGGAAAAAAAAGTACCGTTGTCATTGTATAACCTTAAAAGTAAAATTTAACTGATCAATTTTACATTTCACGTTCCTTAGCCATGGCAAATTCTTGTTCTAATTCAGCCACTGGGTACATCAAATGGAGTTTTGAGGGAGGGAGGGAAGAGGAACCTGGACAGGAACATAAATCTCACCTGACATTTTGCTTCTCATTAGCCGCACGTCCCTTGGTTGAGCTCCATCAAAGGACTCCAATACAGTTCGGATCTAGAAAAGAAAATACAGCTGAAAACTGCAATACAAATTACACTGCTAGACGTTCCAAAGTTACATTGCACAAAAGAACATTATACTTGCATCCAGAATTTGATAAGAGCGCAGATGGCAGAATATTGTGCTGCAAATCCAACATGCTCTATGGCAGTGGATACAAATGGGCAACCACTGCTTCCCAAAAAGGGAAAGAGAATAAAGAGGATAGACACTGAGCACTTTTTAACAACTGACCATAGGCCTAGAAAACATTTGTTTACTCATTCCTTTTATACACTTCATAATTACTGTAGCTGCTTGAATTGGGTGTCAGACTAACTCAGTGGATAATACTTTTCCACCTAACTGAGTTCATATTCTAAACTGACACTCCAATACATAACCGGGGGAGCAATGCATTGGTGGAGAAGCTTCCTCCAAATGAGCAGGGTCCCACCTGCTTGTTCAGGTGAGTGGTTAAGATCCCATGATACTATCCTGGGCAACAAATCCCAGGCATAAAAGATGGTCATTTGTTTCACTTTGCTGTGTGAAATGCAGACTACACTTTTCAGAAAACTGTGAACGTCGAAAAGATGTGATAAGGTGCGAAACCAACAGCAAGATTATCAATATTAACTGTCATCCAGTGCCACTATCTTAACTTCAAATGCCCCAGTGATGCTGCCTGTGGATTTGTTAAGCCGAATTCTAAATCACTGTTCTGGTAATCACTTTGATCTATTGCACAACAGAGCTCCCATCCCTTCAGAGATTCCCACTCAGATGTGCTCAGATGTACCAAGAACAGAACATGCAGGATTTGCAGCAAACAAAATAACTGCATATAACTCTGTTTTTCAGAAAAATACCCAACGATATTTTAAAACAACAAATTGTATTTATATAGCGCCTTTCGTGTCGGGAGAATGTCCCAAGGGGCTGAAGAAAGTCAATGGTCATCATGATGCACAAAGTAACCATAAGAAACAGATAAGACTTACATCATCCTCGGTTGCAGATGATGGAAGACTTCGCAACATAATAGTTTTGCTTTCTTTATCATTGTTCAGGTCATTCCTGATGTCTTGGTCCCTGTAGTCGCCATCTGAATGGTAGCCGCCATCTGATCGCTCACTGCTTCTTCTTTCCTGGTGCCTCTGACATAAGCAGATTTGTTATCACTGAGTTACGATTGTTCACTTACCAATAACCAATCCAAATCCAGTATCTACATTTTTAAGTCGTATTTGTCCAAATAACTCTTCTTTCACCATAGTTTAATACGGTCCCCAGGATTGAAAAGCAAAGAAAATATGACTGAGATTCAAACATCATACATTCAAGCTTCAAATATTATAAGATTAGAATTTTATATATTGAGGAGATAATTTCTGCATCTATCAGATGCTCAGAGGTAGCCCTCTTCATTCTTGCTACTCATTCTGACTTGCAAACAGATTAGAGAACACAAACATTTTGTAAATTTAAGTCAAGGATTCCATATTAAGTTACAGTTTAAAAGGAAGTGGTTTGCAAAGGCGAATCAGAAAGCTCCAGCTGTGTTAATTATTGCAACAGAGTACTACTATAGTGCCAAGATAAACTATAACAATTGCAGATATTTCTCAAGGGTCACGCATATGCAAGTGACCATGGAATGTTAACCAAATGTAGCTGCTGTAATGCCTTTGAGATATGTCAATGTCATAAAACACTAGAAAAATGCAAGACCTTTTTTTTAGTGATGATTGTGCAAGCAACAAAGCCAAGCTCTACACTTTACACAGAAATCTAACACAGGAGATGTCAGTAATGGGAATGAAACACTTACCCACTTTTGGCACCTATTTGCAGGATTAAGCATACCTACGGGTACTACAAATTTCCTTTCATCCAAATTGGAAGAACTTTCACAATGTCAACTTGAAATAATGCTGTTATATCTACCTCAGAACTTTCGGAGCTCCGATGGTCTTGGTGTCGACGATTACTACGACGGTCGTCATTGGAACCTCTGTAGTCGTAGTCTCGATCATAATCCCGGTCATAGTCACGGTCATAGTCACGGTCATAGTCACGGTCATACTCTCGGTCATACTCTCGGTCATACTCTCGATCATACTCTCGATCATAATCCCGATCATAATCCCGATCATATTCACGGTCATAGTCTCGGTCATAGTCCCGGTCATAGTCCCGGTCTGAGCCCCTGGAGTTGCGATCTCTTCGGTCTCTAGAATCTGCGTGGTCTTTGATCTGATCAGAGCCGTACCTTCCATTCCGTTCAGTTCTACTTACTCTGCAGAAAAAGAACATCATAAAAATAATATTTCTACAGAACAACAGAAAGACAAAGGGTTTGACAATTAAGGTCACAATTAAATTGTGGTAAAGTACAAGTTGTTTTTAATATATCCTGTAAATATACATTATTTAAACATAAAGACACATAAACATAGTGTATATTAAGACAAGTATCAATTAAAAAATGTAAACATGTGATATTTATGGATTTAAAAGTGCTAACATATCAACCTATCTGCTGAATACAATGCCACAAAGGAAGGTTGAGAATTAAAGGTGAAAGGTATTGAAAGGGGGATCAAGAAAGTGAGAGGAAAGGTTCACTATTAGCCCTTTGGTTCTAAGTAACTCACCTTTTATTAGAACCCATCTTTGAAGAGACTCACTTGCGAGATTGGTTTCAAAATAATTTGGATTGGCAATCTGGAAAATATGATAAAAGATCAAAACTGACAGGTTAGTTATCCCAACGTATTATCTAATGAACTATGAAAAAATGTAGCTGACTGAATGTAATCATTTTTACAGCATTCTTTCAGTCACATTTTAGTGCTTTACTTATAACACAACACTGGACCTAACTCAATGTCCTATAAACGTTTCCACTGTATTTTCTTTTCCACAAGCATTGGTCAGCAATGTATTCCTGAAATATTTTTCATACAACAAAACCAGAAGTCTATCATATCATTATTTCTCAGTGAGGTATCATATTTTACAACACTTAACTGACTCAAATTCTGTTTAAATTTGTTTACTAGGATTTTTACAAGTCAAACTCTTTGCATGAAAAAAGTTCCAGTGATGGTAACTTTTCCAAGCAGTGCAAAAAAGACTGCTCTTTAGCCAGAAAAAAAATTACAAAACTGTCTTGAACTCCGTGATATTGCCAGGCAGGCATGCAAGCTCGAGGTTTCAAAGAGAAACGAGGATTGTAATAGAAAGGTCATCAAAAGCTACACTGTACCTCTTCAAGTCAAGTCTACCTGAAATCACATTAGACTGAGCCAAATCCTCAGAACACTAACTGTTACTATAGGAAAGTACAGATGTGGATATTGATTGAGGAAGCTGGCTTGTGCTGCACTATGGTTCAATAATCTGCCAACAGACACGTTCTAGGCTGTCACTGGGTTATTATCTGAAACCGCTGAGCCCTTGTAAAGTCAGTATTTTCAGAAGAGAAAATTAGGCTCAACTGTGATTACCGTTCACATACTGCCAAGAACCCAGCTTCAGCAAAACAAGGAACAAGAATAAAAAAATCTAAAGGTATACATTTGTATTGCGCCTTTCGCGTCTCGAGGACATCCCAAGACGCAGGAAAGGTTCAACATCCATGCTGAGATTTCAGTTCAACAGTGCAAACTGACACATGTACAGTTCTGTATGGTGTAAGATCTTAAGAAATTATTTAAAAAAGAGGAAGTAATTTCTCCCAATATCAGTCATTAATTCTCATACTCATTTGTGAGTCTCCAGGTAAACAAAATGGCTACGTGCTTACAAAAAAGACACTACTGTACACCCTACAGCAAATATTTGTTAAACTATTTGAGACAATGATAATTCCTCCAAAAAGTGTTAATTCAGTTCATTTTGTCGTTTTGGGCAGCAGCCATTTTGAAAACTCAACCTTTGTCGAAATCGTAAACAAGTGGTCAACGATTCTACATTTGCATTGCACCTTTCTTGTCGGGGACCCGCTGAGCCTTTGTAAAGGCAGCATTTTGGTCTCAACGATCTTTTTCCCCTTTGTCTGTGAAAAGGAGACAAAGTAGGGGAGAGGAACTTGATCAAAAACGAGGTCGAAAAAAAAATCATAAGGTAGATTTTGACAAGTGGGGAGGGAGAGGGCGAGATGGCGGGATTTGGAGGAGGAGGTTTAGAGGCCGATTGGAAGCGGACGGCTTTCGGCCATTTTCTCTCTCTCTCTCTGAAGCGATTTCACTTTCTCTGTTTACAAATTGTAGCCGAAGGAAGAGTTACCGCGGGCAGAAAAAAAATTTATAGCAGAAAGAATTCGACTTTGAAAGCGTTGGTGGGGAGGAATTGATGTCGTTAGACATTCTCATCAGATTGTCTTACACCAAAGCGAGTGTAAGAGCGCGAGTGTTGAGTGTGAAGTGTGGCCATTGAACGATGACTGTTATGTCGCGGAGGGAGGGAAGCGGCTGGAACTTTCCCGAACCTCCCTCCCGCTTTCCTCCACCCGAGCCCGCGCTCCAGCGCCTCTGAGGCGACCCGCATTGTACGGCTTCTCTTCCGTCGCCGCCGCTCACGAACCTTACCTGCTTACCCTAACCGTTCGATACGGAGATGTGACCGGAGTTTCACTGACCGCAGTCTCTCTCCGCCATCACCGCACAACCACAAGATGGCGCCGGCTCGGCACAGCTACCCGGCAGGCTGTGCGGCCACCAGCGCGCCCATTGGCTGAGAGTACAATGCCCACTGCATCCTGGGACTTGTGTTGCTGAGTCTCGGCTGACAGGAGAGGCACTGCACCGTGACAGGGGCACCTCCCCCCCCCCCAGGCACCGTGACAGGGGCACCTCCCCCCCCCCAGGCACCGTGACAGGGGCACCCCCCCCCGGGGCACCATTCCCCCCCCACCAGGGGCACCCTCCCCCCCACAGGCACCGTGACAGGGGCACCTCCCCCCCCCTCCAGGCACCGTGACAGGGGCACCATTCCCCCCCCACCAGGGGCACCCTCCACCCCCCCAGGCACCGTGACAGGGGCACCATTCCCCCCCCACCAGGGGCACCCTCCCCCCCCAGGCACCGTGACAGGGGCACCATCCCCCCGCCCCCCCCCAAGGTACTGTGACAGGGGCACAACCCCCCCCCCCCAGGCACCGTGACAGGGGCACAAACCCCCCCCCCCCCCCCCAGGCACCGTGACAGGGGCACCATCCCCCCCCAAGGCACAGTGACAGGGGCACCCTCCCCCCCCAAGGCACAGTGACAGGGGCACCCTCCCCCCCCAAGGCACCGTGACAGGGGCACCCTCCCCCCCCCAGGCACCGTGACAGGGGCACCCTCCCCCCCACCCGCAGCACCGTGACAGGGGCACCATCCCCCCACCCCCCCCAAGGCACCGTGACAGGGGCACCATCCCCCCCCCTCAAGGCACCGTGACAGGGGCACCCTCCCCCCCCAAGGCACAGTGACAGGGGCACCCTCCCCCCCAAGGCACAGTGATAGGGGCACCCTCCGCCCCACCCGCAGCACCGTGACGGGCACCCTTCCCCCCCCCCTCCCCACGTGGCACCATGACAGGGGCACCCTCCCCCCCCACCCGTGGCACCATGACAGGGGCACCTCCCCCCCCACCCTGTGGCACCTCAACAGCAAGCAATCTCCCTCCAGCAATGTGATACATGGAGCAGACAAAAGGCATGGCATCCTTTGCCTGAAATATTTGGGTTCATTCTCATTTTCTGACAAACACTTAAACATTAAAATTCTCAGACCTAAAAGTAACCATAATATATCAAATCCAAGGATTACATATACAGTATAAATATGCATTGAATGTACTTTCACTGTATAAAATTCCCTCTAAAAGTTAAAGAATAATTTAGTGAATTGAGGAAGGCATTAAAGATTTTAGATTTCCCGCATCTATAGTTTTATCATATCAAAGCACTTAGTTACATATAAATATCCCCAAATGTTATTACACTTTTGTTAAAAAAACAGGCAAAATATTTAAGTTATTTACAATAATGTGACATCACAATGACAAATGGCATCACAAAGATTTTTATTTCTGGAGGGGTTCGTTCAGAACTCTGCCCGACACATAGTTACCCGGACCAAACTCTGTACCCACATCTCGCCAGTTCTGGGCAGGCTCCACTGGCTCTCCCATCACCAACCAGATCGACTTCAAGATCCTCACATTCGTGTTCAAATCCCTTCACTCTCTCCGATCTCCTCACTGCCCAATGCACCACCTGGCGCCTTTGCTCGACTGGCACTGGCCTCCTGTTCATCCTTTGCACCCTCCGCCCCACCATTGCAGGGCGGGCTTTAAGCCACTGCGACCCGAAACTCTGCAACACTCTCCGTCAATCATTCCACCTTGCCCCCTTCCCCTTTTTCAAGTCCTGCCTGAAAACCTTCCTCTTCGACCGTGCTAACAGCCACCTCCCACAAGCCCCCATCCCCAACTCGAGAGTCAGGCTCCGCCACTGTTAGGAGCTCTGAGACACTAACTTGTGTGGAGGGTATTATATAAGTGCAAGTTGTTGCAAAGGGCTATAAAAATTAAATCAACTGATTTTTCAGTTGAAAACCACTTTGAAAAATATATTTCACAGGAAATGTAACCTGTAAATAAGTACAGGAAGGAAAACTGGAATTGACACTGTGTTCATTCTGTAAGGATTAACTGGGCATCATCAATGTCAAACTACAAATTTTCAATATGTTTCATTTGGTTGAAGTTAGTCCAATTTGGTAATTAATACGTATCAATAATAAACATCAGTCTGCCTGTTCAGGTGGAAGTTAAAAGTTATTAGGCTCAGGTTGGCAAGAGCCAAGGCTTGGGGACCCCGGAGTGTGGGTTGTCTGGTAAGCTTTCCCGCTGCTTGTCCGGTTAGGACCACCCTACCCGTTAGGGCTTTGGCTTGTGGGGTTATCAGGAGCTGAGTTGGATAATTTCCTGCCCCCAGTAACTAGTCTGCTCTTCCACTGTCATCAGCAGTGCCCTGGAATACTGCGGATCCACCCGCCTCAGGAACCGGGCCAGCGAGACCGCCAGAGGGATGGCTCGATCCCGACATTCCCTTGTCAGGCATATCACCGCGGAGCCAGTTCAGCTCCAAGCAGACCCCGCTTCTCCCCCTCCCCAACTGCAGCAGCCAACTGTGCACAGCAGTGTTCCACAAACAGCCGTGGATTGAGTGGCCTAATTATCGAAGGGATTATATTTGAAGGGTCACACAAGCACTGTGCAAGACAGTCACTGGGCGGATGCCGTACAGACAGTTGGGCAGACGATTGGGGGCGGGAGGCCGCTGCCGCCATCTTGCAGTTCTCCTGGACTCCATTTTATCTCCTACACATAAATTCTCTTCGGCTTTCCCAATGAAAGCGGCCGCACCCTCACGTGGGGCCGGCGGGGTGTTGTTTTCGAACCCGGTTCACAATCATGTCGCACTTACCGTCTCCCGCCGCCGCCCTCGCACCGCGTGGCCGAGCGTCTGCGCGCCAGACTCTCGCAGTCCAACTACATTACCCAGCAAGCGGCGCGGGGCGACGCTATAGCGCATGCGCAGTGCCCGGGGCTGGGACAGTGGGCAGTGCCCTGGGACAGTGCCCTGGGGCAGTGGGCAGTGCCCTAGGACAGTGGGCAATGCCCTGGGACAGTGGGCTGGGACAGTGGGCAATGCCCTGGGGCCGTGGGCAGTGCCCTGGGGCAGTGGGCAGTGCCCTGGGGCAGTGGGCAGTGCCCTGGGGCAGTGGGCAGTGCCCTGGGCTGGGGCAATGGGGAGGATGGCCAGAAATTAAACTAGATTTGAAGTTTTTTAAGTTTTTAATTTTAAAAATGAGGCACCCACCTGAAGCCTTTTTTTTCTCTCCGAAGCTGAATATAATAAAAACAACTTGGCAACATTGACAATGGGCCCGGGTTTGGTGCACGAGTGGTTAACGAGTTCTGTAGCTCAGTGGTTAGAGCACTCACTTTGCAAGCGAGAGACCTTGGGCAAGTTTCTCCACACACCTGATAATAATCCCTCAAGAAAAAAAACAGTAATTGGTCATTTCAATCCACGACTGTTTGTGGGACACTGCTGTGCACAATTAGCTGTCACATTTTACCCACAAATATACAGTCAATTCACTTTACAGTCTATTCTGTGAAGCACTTTGAGACATCTAGAAGACGTGAAAAGCCCTATATCAAATGCAAGGATTATTATTATTATTACAAGTTTAATTTATATAGCTCCCTTCACGCAGGGTAAACTCTCGGAGTATTTTATAGAATCATGGTCGGATGGGGGGATGGGACAGGAAAGGGTGAGGTTACCATAGGTGTAATAAAAGTCGTACAATCCTTGCATTTGATGTTGAGCCTTTTTGTCTCAAAGCACTTTACAGGATTTACTGTAAAGTGTAGCAATTATACTTATAGCAAACGAGGCAGCCAGCAAAGTCTCACAGGCAATGTTGAAGTGAAGGAATAATTTTACTTGGGGTAGGCATTAAAGTGGGTTTTAATGTGAGCGACAGTGAGACTGATGGACAGAGGAAGTATCAGGGGTGGGCATTTGAAGTCAATGCAGGCAGCAATAACTGGATTTCAGCAGTATATGGTGAGATAAGGTGGAGAAGTGAAGTCTGGGTCAGGGGCAGAACATAATGAGGAAGGAGAGCTTAAGATAGAACAGGTGGCGCAATGGTTCAAAACAAAATTACATTTGTAAAGTGCCTTTCAGTGAGTTTGGAATAGGCCAGGGAGGGTGAGGTCAGAGCTGGCAATGAGATGTTGACAGGAGCAACAACCCTGTAGTTTGTACATTTTCTGTATTTATCTGGCTCTTTTGAAAGCTGATTAGATTTTTCCCCAACCACCACTCTTGGTAGGGCATTCCGTATTCTAACGACTGCGTGAAAAAAATTCTCAACCTCCACATTTGCTATCTGTTTTGTAAATCGACACCCTCTAGTCACTGACTCACCGCTCAAAGAAAATAATTTCTCCCTATTTACTCTATCAAAACCCTTCATAATATTAAAGAGTTCTATCAGGTTACCCCTCAACCTTCTTTGTTCCATTGGAAACAATCCAGTTTCTCCAGTCTATTCATAGGCCAAACCACCCTCTATGTCCTCATCTTTCCTGGATGGCTTAATGCAGACTGTACAGTAGGAAATGTAATTATGTTTACAATAATTCTCAGATCACTCCCAATTGTGCCTTCACCAAATGCATCCAAGAAACTGATTTTTTTCAGATTACACCCTTATGAATTGCGAAGTTCTCTAAAAAAATAAATTGTAGTACAATAAGAAACACCAATAGGTTCTTTCCAAAATTTATTTGTAAAGAAAACTGTAGGTACATTATTATACATTTGGCTGAAACAAAATGTACATTGTACATTTGGCATAAATATAATTTTAACAAACAAAAAATTCCTACAGACAATTTGCACTGCTTAGTACAATACCATGTAACAAAAAAATAGGAAATGTATTTACATATTTACAACTGCTCTCAGATCACTCCAATTCATTGTATCTCGTAAACATAGCTTTTTTAACAGCGTCTTTGTATGAATCTGAAGTAGTGACACCATACGAGCTTCCTCGAGCTCCCAAACCAGCTCCCTTCATCCTTGTTTGAGCCTGTAAATTAGGTGTTAGAACATTAAAATTTACAGCAAGGCATTTTACCTCCGCCCCTCAAAACTGGAAGGAATGCAATAGATGATCATATACTTGATGCCTTTCTCAAATTGGCCCGCTGGTGGGACAGATCAATTCCCACTTTCAAGACCGAAATTGAGTCTCTCAGATTGAATGAGTCGATCCAATGAATCGATCAGATTTAATCTCTCCTCCTAGCACTCTAATTACCAAAGCAATATATTGCTCCAGTGATGCCTATCGTGGAAAAGAACATGTATTTGCAGAAGCTCAAATACCATTGCAACATGTTCTGAAATCAAATTTCTGCCACTCTCACATACACAAACTAATAGTAATAAGTTGTATTTAGTACAGTAGCTCATGTCAAAATATGAGTCATTAATAAAAAAAACTTTGAAGTGTCGCGAATGTTCACAGGCAACTGCATCTGTGCCAGGAACATCACAAACACTGATCAGTAGCAAATTGATCAGAATTGTATTTAGGTAAATTTGGCTAAGGAAGTAATATAGTTCAGAACATTAGTACTTCAATTTTCAAGAAAGTGAGGGTTAATTCAAAAAACCAAAGCGAAAGAAAAAAGGAAAGAAGAGAAAGCTTAAAAGTGAGATAAAACGTAAATCTGAAAGGTAGCGAGTGCAAATCTGGAGCAGTGGCCAATTATACAAATGTATCCAGTAGTAACAAAATTAAACAGGCACCCTGAAATAAAGTTCCAATAGGAAAGCCAATGCTTGGTTTCGATTGTAAAATACTTTTCAACAAAATAAAACACTCAAAACTGATTAATTACTTCCCATTCTTATTGAAGACAATCAGCAAACAACAAAGTGGTCAATAAATACACAGCATAAGAAAGGGAACCGTACCTGTATGGGAGCTGTAATACCTTGCCGATTGCGACCTAATCCTGAGCCTTCTTTCCAGCCCATAGCCTGCAGCATCCGACTCCCAATATTGTCGCTGTTAATACCATTTTTTGTTGGCTGCTCAAAATCACTGTTGGTACAAAGCCACGCTTTAGTTTTTAGTCCCTATTAACATTCAAAAGTGTTATCCTGACCCATTGTACAGTTACAGTTCACCCTTGTCAATAAGCAAGTTCAAGTTGCTAAGAAACACACTTACAACGCGGCAGAAAAATAACTTAAAGAAACTGAAGCTAAACTTGGCTGAGATCGACTTTTAATTAATATTTTAATGCAACAATATAATTTGATGACTTCCCTCACTCATCACATTGGTTGTACTTACATTACTGCAGCAGCAGTGTTAAACTTCTTCCTCTTGGGCTCAGGAGGCTCTGGGATTCCATATTTCTCTCTCCTTTCTGCTGCTCTGTCTCTGTACTTCATCTTTTAATTTGAAGGGAACCAGATAACAATGATTGAGGCAATGAGAGGATTGCAATATATCAAAGTTAGAATGTGATTTTGAAATGTTACAACATCTGCTCCAAAATAGAAACAAGATTATGCTGCTTCTCCAATACAGTTTGATCTCACAGTCTTGGCACACAAAGCAATTCTTCCATTCCCATTTTCTCTCCTGAAAACATTCAATTACCTTTTTCTGCACTGATGGTTCCCTGAATGCTGGTAACCTTGCCCAAGTGGCCATTCTTACTGTGAACTTGACATTAGAGGCTAGATTGCTTTTGACCACAGAGCAATCACAACGAGCCTGATCACATCTCAGCCCACATCGACACATATGCACTTGGCAGCAGGGGACACTGGACATACTAAAACTGAAAACCATGGTTGAGTTTTTGCCCCCCCCCTAATCCAGAGGCAATGAGTCTTACAACTCCTCAATGAGCCTTACAACTCCTCAACCATTGAAGTTCCTCGCTTGGGAGACCTTTCTCTTCAAGGTGTTTACTGTCATCTCTCTTCTTTCCTCAGCTTGGTGTCAATCTCTGCCACTGCTATGCGCTTTGAGACGCTACATAAAGGACTCTATATAAATACAAGAATTGTACTGCCCTGCCCAGCAAAATTTGAACCCGCAACTTTCATATCTGTATGCACAAGACTGGTTTACATACTGTGGGGGGGAAATCACACAAGTCGAGTTTATTCTTTATGAAGCACGTGGATTAACTAGGACAGGAAAAACAATAATTACTGCTATGAATTCTGGCTACCATACTATGATGACTGGCTTCTGCACAGGAGGCAAGCCATTTTCCTCTAATCTGTCAGCTTCCCCTCCAGATGTTCCATTACTAAACATGGTGACCAGAATTCATTCATTTACTGCTTAGATCATCACTGGACTTACCTCACTTTCTGTCTTTTGCAGTGCTTCAAGCTCTCTATTGGACATCTTGCTCCTTTTATGGATTTCTAAATTTTGCTATAGAAGAGAAACACAATTTATGGCCACCCAGCTTAACTATGAAAATGTAATATACAACATGACATTTTTTGCGCTATAGATGCCCACAGCAAAGTTGAGATCGATGCTGTTTCATTATCCTTCAATTTCAATATTCCTGTTTCCTTCCCCAAACAGCCTTGAACATCATCTAATTGGGATTTACTCGTACTGGTCAAGGTCTTCAAAACCATGATCTGGATCTCCATTATTTTCATGTTCTGAAACAGAACTGTACAAGAGATTTCTACAGATTTTGGTAAGCAAGCCGCTGAAAAAGCCTCTGCTCATTACCCTGTGCAGGTCAGAGAGTTGTTGATGGCGTATCAGTGCCTCTTTGTTAGGGAACTGTCTTCTGCACAAGAGGCAAGCAATTTTCTTCCAATCGGTCAGCTTCCCCTCTAGATCTTCTGTTGCCTCTTGCTCTTCCTCATCACTCTCTCCACTGTATGCTGCCACAAGACCCTGCAGTGGGCTTGCCTTCCTCTACAAGAAAAAATGATCAAGGTTGAGTTGAAATTAGTGCAAGAACGTTTTATACCTAGGACCTAAATATACAAACCCGATAATTTTGTTAAAAGATTTGTTAAAATTATAGTTAATTATAGATTTGTTAAAAGACAGGAGGAAACGGCCAGGATAAAAATATCCGAGACTTCAGAAATAAAACAAAGATTAGAAACAAATGCTCAAACCTTTAGTGGACTTTCTTCATCGTCTCTCAGGTGCTCTGCCAGCCCACTAAAAGGCTCGAGTACCATTGGACGCCGCTCCATCATTCCCTGTAAATGAACAGAATTTTGTTCTTGTTTAAAAAAAAGTTCAGGCCTTTTTTGGAATCTATTTTACAGAGCGGCAGTTTTGGATTTCAGCAATTCGAGAACCTCAGTGAGCTATGTGGACTATACTTCATTCAGTAGAAAATAAACCAGAACAACTTAAAGAAAAGGTCCCCTGTGTGTATTTTACTGAACAAAGGAATTTACAGAATTTAGACCATCTTGGTAGTCTTAAATTAATAAAAATGTTACATTTTATACCTCTCAACTATCATCTTTGTCTTCATAGCTTCCCTCCTGAATTTACTGACATTTCTAAAAGTTTTTAACTGTAACCTTACCAGCCTGGCTTCTCCCTCCACTCAGCTCCTTCATTTGGCCTAACCCACCATCACAGTTCAGTCAGTTTGCTCCTGTTCTCTCAAACTCCATTCTGGAGTTTCTCTGCCTCGCCCCCACTTCAAAGCCCACTATAAGACCTTTCTTTCTGAACATGTCTTTGGACAATACATGAAAGGTGCTCTACAAATGTGATTTTGTTGTTGTTGTCACCTCCCCTCCCCCACAGCCTCCAGACATGAAAAGCACTATATAAACACAGTTGCTATACACCCCTCATCTGTGAAAATTCCCATAGCCATGTAAAATGCAGTAACATACCCTTTTTTCAAACAAAGCAAATCCTGCATCAGCAGCTGCAGACTCTTTTCTTTCTTCCTCTCTGAACATACCAAGTTGAAAGCTGTTTTTGACGTTATCTTTCTGCTTATTCAGACTCTTAGCCCATCGCTCCATGTCTTTAGCAATCTGGAAGTAAAAATCTCCCATTAGCCTGCACTTTAAATAGATGCACTTCCTTTAAATATCAATATGCTCAACTAATACATCATTTTTATTGCAGGTCAAATTAAGTTTAATTTCTAAGTCAGTAGTTGTGAAAAACTGGAATTCAGTAACACTTTATCAACATCACAACAATTTTATCCCAAGAAAGTGGCTCACCTGTTGTGCTGTCTTGCTCTTTGGTTTATCCTTCCTTTCCTTTCCATCCTTGTTTTTGCTCCCACTGTTGGCATTTTGCTGTGCAGTATAATCTGGGGCAGGCAGATAAGTCTGTTTCTCTCCATCCCAGTACAAGTACTGTTGAGTCTGTGAGTTGTAGTAGTACTGAAAAAATGTGAATTATTGGAATATGCAGGGTCAATCTTAAATTAAATGTCCATAAGTATTGTCACATCGTTGAATTTATATTTTTAAACCATTTGTTTCCCCGATAAGAACTGTCAATTCTCCTCCCCTAAACCTGCTGGAACTCTTTTCTCTAACTCTGATACAGTTCCAACAGGTACTCTTTGGAACTTTATCCAAGTGGATACCATTCACATGTGAGATTTGACTATAACTGCTGGGGCAATTTGACTGGTGGGGGTAGGATGGTTTTAGCGATCAAAGACAAATTTGATACTGTTCCTAACCTGACATCTACACACAAACATACTTCAGCAGTTCACACTGAATAGCAAACCAGGAATGGAATGTCTTGCTCCAACCAAGAGAGCCGAGATCTATTTTAGCACCCCCGACCAATTAGCACAGGTACCAATGTATCATTTTCTATGTGGCTTAATGCTGTTACTGCTGCCTTTACCTACAAGGTATTCAGGGTAACACAAACTTGTTATAGTAGGAATAACTTTATTCATGTTTTTGTGCAGCTCAAATTTGTAGGCTCTCATGCACGCAAACCAAGTCAGTTGCTTGCTTAAAAAAGTGCAACTGTGCAAAAAAAAATTCCTAGTGGAAACATGGACTAGGATTAGTCATGAGCCAAGCACACATGAAAACTACACAGAGAACACATGGTTTTGATGTTGGAAAATGTCTTTTGAAAAAGTTTCTCTTAAATAATAATAATCTGACAAACAGAATGGTAAAATGGACAGACACATGGCAATGAATTTCAATGTGGAGAAATGAGAGGTAATGCATTTTGGTAGAAACAATGAGGGGAGGCAATATAGGCCGGTAATGCAATCTTAAGGGGGGTACAGGTAAATGAATCCTTGAAGGTGGCAGGTAGGTAGATTAAGCTGTAAAAAGGGCATATGGGATACTAGGCTTTATAAATTGGGGCAGAGAGTACATGAGTCAGGAGGTTATGATTAACCTATATAATACACTGGTTAGGCCTCAGTTAGAATACTGCGCCCAGTTCTGGGCACCACACTATAGGAAGGATGTTAAGGCATTGGAAAGGGCGCAGAGGAGATTTACAAGAATGGTACCAGGCATGAGGGACCTTGATTATGAGGAAAGGCTAGAGAGGTGAGGATTATTTTCATTGGAGCAGAGAAGGTTACGAAGAGACCTAATAGAGGTCTTCAAAATCTTGAGGGGATTTGATAGGTTAGAAAGGGAAAAACTGTTTCCACTGGTGGGTGTATCGGACTCAAGGTCACCGATTCAAAATAGTATCTAAAAGAAGCAGAGGGGAGGTAAGAAGAAATTTTTTCATGCAGCGAGTTGTTCGAATCTGGAATGCATTGCCTGAAAGGGTGGTCGAGGCCGATTCGATAACAACTTTTAAAAACGCGGTGGACGGTATTTGAGGAGGACGGGTTTGCAGGGTTATGGGAAAAGGGCTGGGGAGTGGGATTGACATTACATTGCTCTTTTCAAAGAGCCGGCACAGACTTGATGGGCCGAATGGCCTCTTTTTATGCTGTACAATTTTATGATTCTATGATCTCGACATTTGACAATAGTGCTTTAGGTCAACACGTCTCAAAGTGCTTCTAAGTTTTTTTTTCTGCTAACGGTAATAACTATATATTTGTAGGCAAATACAGCAGTAAATATGTATATAAGAATGTTACACAGTTTGGAAGTGCTAAGGGATCTTTAACTTCCATCTGAATAGGCAGGAAGGGACCACGGTTTAACATCTCATCTGAGGACAGCACCGCTGACGATGCAATGCTCCCACAACACTGCATTGTAGTGCTACCTCCAGTCTCAGAATTCATTCTAATGTATCCATCACATATTCATCAGAGTGGTGCATGGTTTCTCATCACAGACCAAAGGAGTTTTTAACATGATGCAGCTTTTTAATGAGGGGCAGAACCACTTTAACATCCTTTCTACAATAATCATCATCCTCAGTAAGAAAAAGTTCTGAAGTCAGAATGAGTGATGCTTTCGCTCTCACAAAGAGTAACAAAATGGTACAAAAAGTACAGTAACCCCCCCCAGCTTACTGGATTCCAGGTGTCCAGAATTTGTATCTAGCCAGACCGGACCCCAAATGGAAAATTAAAAAAATATTTCCAGACTCCCACCAGCCCACTCTCCTAGTGCGCGACCCCACCTCACTGTGCTTGCTGGCCTTCAGGGGCCAGGGATATTGACTTTCACTCGATTTGAATCCGAAGATAGTCTTTTCCTTATCTTCTCCTCGCAGGATTCAAACAATTGCAACGTCAGTACCAGTATTTACTGGCACCGATAAAGCCAGCACTGAAAATACCGATAACGGCATTACAATTACACTTTGCCGAAAATTCCGGCTCGCCGGACCAGAGCCCCCCACACCTCCGACTATGCAATACACTGCCAGCACTGCATTGGAGTGTCAATGTGATTTCAATAGGATTCTAAGTCCCAACATGAGGCTTCAACCCACAGATTCTGACTCAGAGATGTGAGTGCTACCACTGAGCCAGGTGCAAACACAAGTTGGAGATCAATAATTTTTTAAAAAATCATCATTTTCTATTATTCCACCTTCAGTAGGTTGTTAGGTTTAAGTAGATAAAATAGGAGCAGGGAGTAGGAGGAGTGAAGGCTCATGTGGAGTAAAACATTCGCACAGGCTAGACTGTTTCATGCTGTATCATTCTATGCAAAATTCAGTTCTAAGGACACAAAAAATCCTAACAAATGTTATCTATAGGTTTTCTGGTTTGCTACATCGCCAGAGGTAATGTACATACCTGTGAGTTTGCATCATAGTACAGCCCAGTCTGTGCATCATAGTAAAATCCAGAAGACTCATCATATTGGTAAGTGGACACATCTGGTACAGCTGGACCAAAAGGAAAAAAAGACTCCTCAGCAAGATACAATGATGATACAGTATTTAAAAAGCCAAACAACACTGTAAAAGGCAACAAGATCTGGGAAATACTCACGAAAACTTGATTCTTTGGAGTCTGAAGAAACCTCAGCTGGTTTTGCCTCTGCCTGCTGGGACTGGCACGGTTGCACTGCCTGAAATATAGTTTTTTCCTTTATAAAAGCATTATAAATTATTTATTCATCAATGATGGCAAAAGTCAACTTTCATTGGTCATTTGTAAGGTGTAAATGGAGGGAGTTACCCCACAGTTATACGCACCTATGGGCGGTTAACTATCTAATCTCTCAATTGGATCAAACATTTGAGCAGGCTGCGCGCCAACTGGCTGCCTCTTTCCATCCACAAAATATACAGTAAAAAAAACTTCACTGTAAACCTGTGAAATGCTCCTAGACGCCTTGACGATCTGATAAGGCGCTATATCAATTGCAAGGATTATTATTATGTCGGGAGGGTATCTCAAAGGATTCACAGGACATACTGTAAAGTGGACTGCACACCTTGTATACCACAAGTCTATTCTCATATTTCAAAGAAGCTACCTGAAGAGACCTAAAGAAGAACGTTGTGCACTCTTCCAGTTGTTGGTTAGGTGGTGGTGGGGAGGGGGGGAGAGAGAGACAGAAGGAGGATCAAGTTTCAGTTTGTTAAAACCTTTAGAGGCAGAGTTCATAATGTATCATGCAAGTGTGAGTGAAATGACAACTATTCATTAGGTTGCTGTCTGCCAGATCCCAAACATAGCCAGGAGAGAATATGACTTTATTGTTTCATGTAAAGCGATTTAAAAATCCTAAAAAATACAACATATAGGAAAGCCCTAGCTTACCTCAGGTGTTTGTTGATTCTGTGGCTGGTAGGTTGGACCTTCCTGGGAGACTGCAGTGGAAGCAGCATTTGTTGGAGCAGCTGTCAAGTCGAATAAAGTATCTGTTAAGTTATTTTATGCTATATATTAAACACTCTTTTGCAGGTTAAAAGTCAAGAGCAAATCATGGAGATGCAGTAGGTGAAGTTTAAATTGTTACAGAGGCTCTACATTTCCAATAGGATATAGAGCATTCTTCTCTCGTTTAGGATTGGTAAGAAACACAACTCTTGGGCAAGGAGAGCAAGTGGGGCAAGTGGGGTATTCTTGAAGCTTTCATTAGAGCTAGACTAGCTACAAGGTTATGTACAATATAGCTACAATAGAATGTTATAGCTACAATAGAATGCCAGAATCAAAACTGATCTTTTTTGGTGGTCTCGGTAGACCAGTTACACAGCCAGGTGGATCCACGCACTCCAACTCAATGTTGGTGTCACACCAGCCAGTTTGTTTCATGAGCAGAACTTGAACTGGCAAGACCTTGAACTGGCAACTTGAACTGGGAGGCCCCTATTAACGCTGCAAGCCAAAGTCCAAACAGGCAGTGATCCCAGCTATATGTGTAGCAGGAAGCTTGCCAGGCACAAAGTACCCTAACACACAGTTTGGGGATCTAGAATTTCTAGAATTAGGTAAGCAAGATACACCCCGCCCCCAGGAGAGAATGCACACTCCATTCCAGACGGGAAAATTTCCATGCATAGGTGGCATACATATATGGAACTCTGTCTGGTTTGGATACTCAAGCATTGTGATGGGTTTCCACATGTCAGATTCCAGATTGACTAAAAACCCTGTAACAATTAGTAAAAAAAAGAAATGCTATTAATAATAAAACTAAAACCAAGTAGAAAACAAAAGAAAAGAAGGAAATCAAATTCACACTAGGCAGAAATAAAAGTGCCACCATTACATTTCCTAATGACAACCCTGATCCAGTGGGTGCAAAGCTTTGAACTTCCAATGGACTGTGCTGCCACGTTACCCATTAGGCACAAAGTCCAAGGTACACACTTTACAGTATATCCTGTGAAGTGTTTTTTGAGACAACATCCCAATCTGAAAGGTGCTATACCAAATGTAAGCACGATTATTATATCTTGAGAAACCTGGATTCCCAGCCATGATTCATCAACCAGAATCCCAAACTCAGCCACACTATTGTGGAGAAGTGCCAAGCAGAGGTCAAAGAGCAATTGATATTAATACTTGCATTTGATATAGCACCTTATCACGTTGTTGAATATACTATAAAGTGAATTAACTGCATATTTTGTGAGCGAAACACAGCAGCCAATTGTGCACAGCAGTGTCCCACATACAGTCGTGGATTCAGGTAACAAATTCTTTTTTTTTAAGTGTACAAAACTGTGCAACTGCTCCTTGTAGAACAACAACTTAGATTCTATAGCGCTCTTCATGAGAGGTAGGATCTTTGGAGTGCTCAAGTACAACTTTTCCTTGGAAATAATTCCCTTAGGTATAGTGTAGAACTTGAACAAATGTTCTGTACTATACCTGTTAGTTCAATTGGATGAGAAGCAAATTTAAGCTATTGCAAAGTCTCACCCAACAAAACAAATTAAAGACAGTTCTACCTGTGATTACTGGCGGTGCTTGGTAAGTCATTAAGCCTTGATGAGCAGGATCCACACCACCACTTGGTTGCGGAAAGTCATGTGAAAATTGCAGCTGTGGCACACATAGATTAGAAAAATATTTACAGCTTTTCGTTGGAATAAATACACCACTTCTCTCAGGTAAAGTGTAGACTAGAGCAACATTAAGATTCTATTTAATTATATAATTCTCTTGGTTATCTTTTTTAAACTTTCCAGACACAAAGCTAAGGTAAAAGAGAATTACATATTTATGGATCAGTACAGTATTTGATCAATGACTTATGTTCGATACTGAATTGTTACAATAGTTTGCGTTATCTACAAAATAGTTCAAGTGGGTACCATGTGCCTAAAAGAACCGTATCATCCTAGTTTCTGTGCCATATTTGGAATTTGATATTTATTTCTTATACATACTTGTTCATACTGATTGTAGCCATCCTGCCCTGGCTGGGGGTAATTGTAATCAACGTTTCCATCTTCTGACCCTTGCATCTGTAATAATGATGGAAAACATTTTTAAAATGTGAGGGAAAAACATCAGGGTTTCTGCCACCAATTGTTTTCCAGTGAACCCACATGGAATGTGTGAATGTTTGATTTGGCTATGGTGCAGTGCCTCCCTCCCCAGTTAGCCTGCCGACACTAAGTGTCTAGGCTCTGACATGAAGAATTGCTACCAGAGCGAGATACCACAAAGCTCCCAATACCCATGGAGCTGTACCTCAGCCTGAAACACCAGCTTCCTGAGAACAGATGAAAAAATCAGGATCACTGTTTTTTGATAAATTCAACATTCAGCTGGGTCAGCTAAACTTTTATGACTGTCAAACTCGATCCATGCATCTCTGATTTTAGAACAATAGAAACATAAAAAGACCCACAAGAGAATGTGAGCTAATTTAGATTCACTAAATATAACCTTTAACCTTCATACTAAAACAAAGATTGTATCATGTAAATAAAACTGGTTACCTGGCTTGAAGACCACTGGGCTGCAGCTATAGCTGTGATTGCAACAGTCGACGAATTGACCTTACTACTCTCAGAAAGGCCATGATCCCTAGAATAAAGTTCATAGTGGAATCATAAGAAAGTGCCAATACTGTACTGCAATGTTACCATGCTTCGAGGAAGTCTAGACAACAGAATGAGTACAGGAGCACCTGGATCACAGTCCGAGTTCTAGAATGGTTCACACTTTCGAGTTCTCAATTTGGAAACACGGACCAAACTCACCTACACTATTTGTTTGAATCTTGAAACTCCCAACTTCTCAGTAACAATTGTGATTCAGTAGAAGTCAAGCAAACGATCCCCCTAAGTCAACAGCTGGAACTCTGTCAACTCCACTTTCTAGTGGCGGGTCCCCACCCCACCATCTCCTCTCCTGAAGGACCAACTCTCACTGGAGTTTAGTTCCACAAATATTTGAAGCCTTCTGCTGCCTCACCCAAGTAGCCATTCTTATGTGAGAGCCCAGTCAGCAAGTATTGTAAGGTTATTCTGACAGGACATCAGAGATCAATTCTATTCTCACCTGATGTCCATATAGATGAACTTTCCAGTGCAGGTCACTGGATAGCTATCAGCATCGGGAAAGCAAGCTGATTTTCACCCAACCTCCCAAGACCTAGGAATACCAAGGTCAACTGTAGCTCCCCAACTGTTGCCTTGGGTCTGATTAGCTAACTCAACATAAACCAGGAATTGAGTCTGAAATCCTCTGGGTCTGTATACCTCAATGCTGCACCAAGTGTCCCCTGGACTCTGTCTTCACCCATTAAGCCATCAAGGAAACCCATTAACCACCATTAACCAAATACACACAATATTACTTAAAAAAGGTAACTATCAGCACTGAGAATTTTGTTTTACTTGTCAAACTAGAACCACACTACCATTTAGGACTTTAGCTGTAGGATGGAGGACACATCTACATGTCCAAGACCCATTGAGGAGCCAGACAGGCTGGTAACCAATGCTTTGAATTACCATAGACTGCAGTAATCTACAATATTTCTTAGATTCTAACAATCTCCAGGGAAGATTAATAATCTGCATTTCATATAACACCTTATCACACCAGAAGGACATCTCAAAGTGCTTCACAGAAATTACTGTGAAATGGAGTGACTATTTGTAAGCAAATGTGGCAGCACAATTGCTCACACCAGTAACCCATAAACAGCCTGAGATGAATGACTACCTTTATTTAGGGGATTGTTAGCCAAGACACTGGGAGAAACTTTTTCCAAATACAGCCATGGGATCTTTAACGTCCACCTGAACCTCAGTTTTAAGTCTCATCCTAAAAGACGGTCCCTCTGACAATGCAACACACCGGCACTGCAATGGAATGTCAGCTTAGACCATGTGAGTTCAAGTTCCAACTTGAGATTTGAACCCACAACCTTCTGACTCAGAGCCAGGAGTGCTACCACCGAGCCAATTGAACATGAAATTTACATTGTTTTTAAAACGCATATTGAAAGACCAATATGAAAAGCAGGCTGCACATTTCATTTTCTCAGCCCATTGAGATCGCTACATCAGGGATGTACAGATGGGGGAAAAAATGCGGTGAAAAAATGTGAAAGCAAGCTGAATCTTAGTCCTCACTGCACCCACATAAATGCCTCCAAACAGCTGACTCTCCAGGAAGGATGGGAGCTCATCACCCACTCTACTTGGAAATGGCACAAGCACACAATAAAAATAACAATTCTTTAAAGCCAGGAAGTAACCTCATTCATATGTTGAATCTATTTAAAATGTATTCCACATGTTGATTACCTACTTCTTTAAGGACTTGGCAAAATCAACATTAATAGTCCGGCCATCAATATTTAATGGAGGCTGTAGTGATAGTAGTATCTGAATAAGGTGGGAGGCTTCCTGTAAAGGAAACATTTTGAGCAGTTTTAAACATATCCTGGTTCAGAACTGGTCGGACAGTGTACAACATTAATTTCTAAAGACAACTTAAAGCACTTACTAAACTTACAACACTGAATGAATTACATAGAATTACATACTAAATACTCTAGTTTGTATCACTGTAAGGACATTTCAGAATCTGATAACCATAATAGGAGGAAGAGAACTTAAAGGTTTCGAGGAATTACTAAACTTGAATGGAATTACACACTGATCTGTCAGTTTTCCACAATGACATTAAACAGATTTTAAAAAAGTCAAAAAGATTACTGTGACATGAGGATTTCCAATGTAAAGTTATAGTAAGAGAAAAAAGTCATGAAAGCTCTTACCCATTAGCTTTGACAACTCATGAAAAGGATACACTTGGCAATGGGTTAATCAGAAAGCAACTTCATAATTTAGTAGTTGTAATAATACCTGTATTTGATACAGCACCATATCATGGCTTTGAGACGTCTCAAAGCCCTTCACAGAATATACAGTAAAGTGAATTGACTGTGAACAAAAGATGGCAGCCAATTGCGTACAGCAGTGTCCCACAAACAGTCATGGATTGAGTGACCAAATTATGATTTATATATTTATCAGTTTTTCTTTTTTTAAGGGATTATTACCTCCGGAAAAGCAATCCATCCACCGACTAGCATCCGCGTTCCTACTTTACTACTAGGTAAACAGAGGTGTTTGGAGTAAGGAAACTTGCCTAATGTTTCGCCCTGCCCTTTACTAGAGATAAACATTCCTTGGTCTCAGATACTAATTTAGAAGCGTTTATATTAATTTCATAAGAGTTTATAAATTCACCAATGGCTACGTGTTCCCCACAGTATTACTGGCTACTCCTCCATAAGCTCTGCCTATCTTCTGCGGTTTGTTGTAATATATCTTCATTGAAGCTAGCAAATTTATCCTTAATATGCTTTACCTTCTTAAGTACCTCAGGTGCCAGGTGCTAACATTTTACCAACTGCGTTTTGTAAAATGATTCAAGAAAATTATTCTCTAAGATTGTATTGTGCAGTAAATTGCCTCCAAGAGTTCCAAGAAATTTGTGAGGCTTGACCAAAAACCACAGTGCCTATCACTCCACCTTTACTTAGGACTATGAACTATTAGAAGCACAAAAGACGTAGAAATTATGAATTGCATCAAAGTGCAGATAAAATTAGTCAGCCAAAGAGAAGGATTTGACAACTTATAATTTAGAAGTATTAAAATTAAATTCAAAAGATGATACAAAACATATTTCAAGCAACCTCAAGAGTGTGGGCATTAGAAACTCAAGAAAACTCTCAAAATGAAATATTACTAACTGTGGTTCAGATTAAACTACAGCTTCATTATTAGTCATTATAGTCATTAAGTAAGGCAAGACAAAACTTACAAAAGGTGAATCCAGTTGAACAAAGGCAAACCCCCTGTTCAGTTGAGTTTGCTTGTCTTTGATCAGTCTCACATTTGCAGTGGACAGCATTGCATATGGGGCCAGAGCAATCAGAATAGATTCCACCGATGTACGTGGGCCAATATTCCTTAAAATGATGGCTGTTGACAATTTAAAAACACACAAATTATACTACACAGTAGATTTTAAAAGCAGGATTAAACCGTCAATCATATCATGTGGAAGTCATAGTTGTTTTGCGTTTCCTCTTCTCCCCGCTTCACAATTTCACAATAGGAAAAAATATATCTATAGAATATCCTTCATATCGGAATGAAACACAGGGAAACAACCAGAAAGGGCTAGAAATCAAGGCAACAAGTATCTGAAAGAGTTCAGAAAGTTAATGTTTCTGGTTCTGATGACAGATTACACCTGTGAGTTCCACAGGTATTTTTTTTCAGATTGTCACTGACCTGTTCCATGGTTGCTTTTTATTTCAGATTTCGAGCATTGGATAACAGTTGGGAAAAACAACTGGTGAGCTGGATTTTACCTCAGCCCAGTTATAAAAATAATTAGAGCTCATCTCAATCTAGTTGCAAGTGGACATGAAGCCAAAACTCAAAAGTGACTTATTCGGAACTCTCTACAGCTACCAAGGTTACTACTGGAATTGGAACACTCATACTGGTGCTCTATCCAACTGGTGCTCTGAATTTCCAGATTCCATGATTTTGGAAGACCCAGGTTGGGCATCCAGTGGAGGATGCTTCTAAGATTGGATAGAAGGTGAAGCATCAGAGCAGAATGAATACAATATTAGACCAGTATAGGTGGTGATTGTACTCTCCATCCAACTGGTGCTGTAACCAAAATTGAAGTACTCAATTGGACCATTGGTTGTCAAAGATGAAATGTTCCATTCCCCAACACCTTATGCCTCGCATTGATCTCAAAATCTGCACAATAACAGATATTTATCAAAAATAATCGATACCAGTCATTTCCACCAGAGATAACTGGATACATTAGTTAATGTGTGAATCCACCATTCTCTTACCCCCTTTTTCAAGATTTCTGCTTATTTATGATTTTTCTTCAGTCTTAACATCAATTTCAAATTCCAATTTTCACCTTAACAGCTAACTAAAAGCCCAGGTCCATCAGACTTAGAACTATTTCAATATCTGGGAAGGTTCTTCGAGCACCTCTCTTGCTCTCCTAGAGACAAGAGAAATCCTGACGACTGATCGGCGATTCTTCTCTCACCTCTGGCCTCCCAACCTTGTGTTTTGCTCAATTTTATCAGCATGATGATCATTGATCTGCTGTATTTCCCTTTCCAAGGCCCAAATATGCCGTTTCTACACACTCTTCCTCCTGCTCCCTGAATCCTCAAACGATTGAAATCAGAAATTCATTCTATAACCTTATCTATTATTTTCTCCCAGGACATGAAGACTGCAAAACTTCTCACCACCCCCTCAGGTCTTCATCTCCAAGCACAATACAAAGATTCAAGACCCCAGGTTGGCATCAATTCTCATCTCATCCTTTCTCCATCTTTTGCCCTGTCCTACACTTTGACTTAAGTTTCTCAATATAAAAAGTCATTCTTCCTTTCTTAACCTGCTCTGAATTGCCACAGATTTCATGATGTTGGAGGACCCAGGTTGGGCATACCATGAAGTGCAGCACAGGGTTGGGCCAAGGTCTATTTGAAATGCAACAACTTCCAGAGAATTTGTACGCCATTTTTGGAGAAAAAGTTTGCAACTAAAAGAAATATTTCATGCCAGAACAGCTCCAGCTCCTACATGCTACAGCAGTAAACTCTGAAGGCTAGAATGTTAAACCCAGTCACTATACCTGGCATATGCATTCCAGGAGAGAGTTTATCACTCTCAACCACTGGCGTGCGCATGCACAGTATAGTTGGCATTGAAGTTGGTACCTTCCTACACTACTACTACCAAATCTTGATTAGAAGATTACACTGCCTCTGGTGGTGGGGGGAGGAGGGGCAAGAAGGGTAGATAGGAAGGTTATAGGGAGATATGAAAGGGGGAGGAAAATCCTGCAGCAAACTAAGAAATTGAATTTTAATGGGTTTTTAGAATTCAGAACTTACTGTCATTTGTATAATCAGACATCAATGGTTCACCTTGCATGCGAGGCTGCTCTTCTTCAGTTTCTGGAAGAAATTGAGAAATACAGCTCCACGTACATCATGACAGAATTTTCTGAGGGGTGGGGAGGAGGCAGTGGAGGAAGAGAGCAAGAACTAATGGCATATTTCAATCCCTTGTGAGGGCTGGGATACCCCATTCATACCAAAGACAAAATGAGTCCTTTTTATAAAAGTAATATTTGAGCTATTGCAAACAAAGAAATGATCTGCAATCTCAGACATTTCTAGTTTGGAAACATTTTCAAAAACTGAATACCTCAGTACTTAAAAGGTTTCTGAGAATCTACAATATGTTAAATTAGAGAAAACTATTGATTTGTGTTTTGTTCCCCTGCACCATGCATTTTCTGACCAAGATAGACTGGACACTTATTCCCAGGCCTCCATCAATATCACTCAATAGCCAACTAGCAGGAGGTGTGCAAGTGTGCCCAGCCCTCTGATTCTTCCCTCCTTGTGGGAATGCTTCTCCACAGATGAGACGGAAATATGTAGATGCAAAACCCTGCATCCTACCACCCTGCAGCACATGCACTGTTTGTTGCGTCACAGTGTTGTCCTTAGTTGCATTAGTTTGAAAAAGTTCAGAGCTCCTTACCAGGCTTCAGAGCATCACACTTAAAGCATCTCTCTCGCCGCTTGAAGTTGGTTACTCCACACTGTGTAAAAAAAAAATTAAGTATTCATAATAGTGGAATCCACAAAAATACAGTCACCAGATCAATTCCTGTTAGCATTGAGTATCACTCAATGGGGTAATGTCACAAGTCTGAATTCCATCCAGGGTGATCTTAAAGTCTCCTCTGACCTCTGTCTATGTGAGAAGCTGGAACTGTCTCAATTTGTTTCTAGGTGGAGAGACCAAAATACAAAAGGACAAGAGAGGACTTTTCTTCATCAGAGGACAAAATGGAATTAGAATACTGTAGTGAGAGCTTTATCCTACTCATCTATACCTGATGTGGTACCCACTGCTGTCACTGGGGTGAAAATAACTAGCATTGCTCATCCCAACATCAAACTCAAAACTAGTCCACAATTTGCTGCAGCTGGGTGCACTATTAATCAATAAATGCATGACAACCAAATGTTTTTCAATTACATAGACTCTTCTAATTCTCCCCGTTAAACGGCAGGAATGGGACAATATTTAATAGTGACCACCATCCTACTACATGGATACAAGTCATTACATTCAATAGGATTGTCAAGGCCATGCAACACAGCAGACAGTGCTTTCCAATCTCATTTGGGTCAATTAATGCCATGCCAGTAGATAGGGCACTTTTTTTAAATAAAAAAAGTCTTCTTGACCATAGTGATTTGATTGCCCTTCTAAGTCCTGCCAATGAGTCAGGCTGGCTGCCCTATCATCAGCTGTACTCTGGAATGGGAGTTCTGAGACCACTACAGATTGATTTGATTCTCCCTATACACATAGCATGGCATACTCTACTCCAACATGTTCAAATATCATTGATAAAACAAGAATAATAATAACATGAGAAATTAAAGACCCAATTCAGTGATGGGAATTTAGTGGAAAATTAAATGATAAGCTATGGCAAGTCTGAATCCTTTTATTGTTATTACCTTGCTGCAACTCCAATCCTCAAATGGCTTTGTGCTGTAATGCATCGGGACATATCTTCTAAGAATCGTGAGGTGTCTCTGTTGAGAACAAGAAGTCAGTCAGAAACTTCTCAATGTGGTGTAGCCCTGTTCATTTGTTTACACAGATCACACCGGCTTCTCATAGAAGTGGAAACTACACTAAAAACAATTAAGATGTCGGAAAATATAAAGGTCTCCCAGATGTAGATTTAGTCACCTACATATAGCCATAATTTTTACTTCAAGGGTGACATTGGGTCTTAAATCTTGGAAGATGAAAAGAAAAGATGCCTTTTCTACCAAAAAGCAAATCTAATCAAGCACTGGCTTTACTGATACGACCTTCATCATCATCAACAACTGATCCTTTTTGACTTCTTGGTTTGGGCTCTTCTATTATTCTCACATAATCTGCAAGGACAAATTTCCTTGCCTCCTAAAGTAACGTGGGATAAGCAGATTGAATGCAAAGTCTGCAGTTGTTGATATGTCAGTGTATGGTAAAGGTTCACTACAGAGGGGAAAACTAGGCAAATGTTAGATTAAATTTCACATACAAGTCAGGAATATCAACATTCCCACAACCCTTCAACTTCTCAATTGAAGAAAAAAGTACTTGGATGTTTCACCTAACTTATCAAAGATACATTTCCACTAATCCTCAACACATCCAGGCAGCTGAGCATCAATAAACTGCACAATGACTATGGGATTTGATGTTTGGGTAAGTAGAAGGTGATAAAATCTAATGAACTGCCACAAACACCAACTGTGTGATGATCTTGTGCTGCCACTAGATGGCTCTAGTGCACTTTGTAAACAAGTTTAAGAATCACATATTTACAAGGCACACTAACAACATTCAGCAGCAGCAAACCAGCACCTTCCCTTATACACAACAGTTGGCTTCAATGGAGCACAATTATGATCAGCAGCACCCACCCCCACCCATGTCAGAAATCTGACAGAAAGAAGATGCATTCCTGAAAATCGGATTCAGAAGGAAAGTGGCACAGGCTGCCAATTACTGGTAAATTTAATGCTATGCATCACAGAAAACAATTCTTTTTGGGAGTGGGGAGGGGAATTCGTGACAGACGACTTATGCCCAAGGTGACAAACCTCTCCACTACACAAGTCGATGGTTCAATTTACTATTCACTATACGGATTTCCATTAAAATATCTGAAAAGATTTGCAAACACAGGTGGTCAAAGCTGTATAACTAACTGCAGGTAACCTATCACATTTTTACAGCAAGACGCTATCAGGCTCATGAGCACACAAATAAATTTCTAAAACTCAAAAATAATGGATTGTTTCCCACTGGTCAGGGAAAACTGGAATTTGAGGGAGGCAAATTCTGGTGACTCCAAGTCTTTCCAGCAGCTTTTTTAAACACTTGATCCTGTTTTTTTCGACAAGAAATCTAGACTTGTTATGAAGCAACCTGATTGGCCTCCATCCATCTTGTTGCGTCCTGCAAGTGATTAAACTCCACGAAGGCGAAACCACGGCTTTGACCTAGAGACAGCATTCAGATATAGACGGGATTGTGTTAGTCAGCGTGTTTAAAGCAGCCATTCAATCTGTCGCCACGTGATCTGTACAAATGTATTTGTGCAGCAATGATAAAGAGACCTTAATGTCCTTTTTTGCCACAGAAGGGAACAGAACCCCATTGTTTTTTTACAAAAATCATTTTCAAAAAATGCACATCAAAAACAAAGCAAACAGCTGACATTCTCAGCTGCATTTGTAATAAAAGTTATCCTACTTTGGTACTGGTATACAATAAAAGTCGTTGCAATAATTCCAACTGCGACGAGCATTGCTGGAGTTTTAACTTACCTGTTTAAACAAGTATGAACTGTAGATGATTTTAACACCAAGATATTCACCAGTGTATTCTGAAAATATTGTAAACTCTCTTTTCCCTGTAACACACATTCTCTGGTTGAACAGGCAGCCACAGGTCAAGGCAAACTAGAATTTGAGGTGATGTGTGAAAAAGGCCCATTCCACAAAAAGACCCATTTCAATTACCCGCCTTCCTGAACCCCATTCAGGATCAAGAACTCTCCCAAACAATGAGGCACTCTATTACCATATACCCAAAAGTAACAAGATGCAGATGACATTTATTGCTCTAATGAACAGGCTTGTTCTGGAACATTGGTGTGTGCCAACTTGGATATGTTGGTAGCACTCTAACCTCTAGGTCAGAAGGTAGTGGGTTGAGCCATTTATCCTATCTGAGTCACTTCAGTAATGAAGGTTCCATTTTTCATATGAAACAAATTTGAGGCCCCACCTTCCCGTGAAAGAAACTGACACTATTCAAAAATAAATGGCACTTTGCAACCAAGTTTTAGCTAGGTGTGCACATTCAAATGTCGCACCCCACTGATGTCACAAAGAAATTCTGATGAAGATCCAATGAGATGAAGACTATATAATGGTCTCCAATTAAATTAGTTTCAGATCACCAAATTCAAAAACGTCAACCCAGCCCTACAAAGGAAACTCTCTCACCAAAGCCTCGCGTTTTAGCAAGGATCAAAGTTGCAGAATAAAAAAATAACGAAATTACGCCTGTCTGCATAAGCAAATTCCAACAAGCTACCCTAATTATCTTTCTCAAGAAGAAACTGACTTGCTGAAGCATATAGATCAGGTCAGTTTTGAATCCAGGTCCATTTTGATTGAATTAATAATTCTAAAAATCATAAAGAGATAGTATCATACCACTGGCTTTATACAGAACAATTTTTTCCCCTCTTCTCTTCCACCCCCCCACCATCCCATAGAGCATTATAAAGTTGCAACCCAGTGACGAATATGAGGCTGATTGAACAGAGTTGAATATAAAGAACATTTCAAATCGTACATTATAGGCAAAGTACAGCTGTTTCCCCCACCGCCAATTTAAAGTAAAAGGATAATTATCCTAGCAGTTATATGGCAGATAGCAGACAGATTTTTGAAAGTTATCACACACATCCAAGTGTTTAGCGGATCAAAAAAAAAATCTAGTGTCCAAGTAAAATACAAACCCTAGTCTTGGATTTAAAATTTTAATCAACATCTCTTATTTCCTCCTAAAACTAAATTGCATTCTGTAGGATACAAGAATCTCAGGAAAAGCATTAAGCTATCAACTCATGAGACACATCTAATCTAAGATAATAATCTAATACTAAAAAGGTATAAGTAATGGTGATTTTAGATATTTAAATGCTCAGTAAAATTAGAGGTAATGTCAGGCTATTTCATAAGAGGTCTCCTTTTAAAATGACGACTGCAACTCAAAGTAGCCATTTTGTTATACATTTCTGTTATACCTTACTCTGTCTTAACAGCATTTAATATGAATGCCGACACAGCGGACAGGGACTATAAATATCTGCTGAAAATGTCATATTGCTATGTGTAAAATCAGCAGGAAATGCTCCAATACCATATATAAATAGGGAGTTTTTATTAAAATTTGAAACCATCCACACAGCACATATGTTTTAAAAAGATTGGGATTAATTTTGTCATTGTATCAGGAGATCTGGAGACTATTATAGTGATGTTGATGATTTCAAAAAGCTTGATGCCAATCCTGTTGACACTTAATTTCTTGGCTCACACACAATGAATGGTCACTCGAGTAAGGTAATAGGCTGCCAGCACTCGTAGAATGGTATCCATCCAATGCCTTCAGAGGTAACTCGAGGAGAAAATTGGTCCTATATGAAAAAAAATCTATTCCCCATGGATGCAAGTTGGAAGCTGTTCCAGCTCACTCATACACAACAAAGAATGATGCAAATGATCCTGCCATATGCAGCTTACTTTGAACAAGAAAGCTAAAGGTTCTAAATGATATTAGCACTGCTACAAATCTTGCTCCTATCAATTGTTTGAGCTAACATATTAAATGTTATATTTTTCACTCAACAGAACAATTATTGACTCATTTGAGGAGGTAATGAGGGTCATTGTTATTGTTGAACAAAAATAGCAGACAGAATGCTTTTTAAAAGAGCTAGCACAGAAAAGGCCTATGGAGTATTGCTATGTTTTCTATAAACATAACCCATGTATTTTGGCATGCAGGATTTCAATGGCTACCGAAGAAAGATTAACCCATTCCTCTAAAAGCAATCAAATATGCAGAAAAAAATGTCAACAATCCTACAGCGCTCTTGAATCACCTGCAGTAGCAAAATGCCACCACAAGTTCTCACAGCCTCAAGGTTGGGGGGAAGGTGGTGAAAGATTAAGCTTAATTAGAGAACATATTGCAAAAAGACCTTTCTGCTGGTAATGGGAATCCTACCATTAATTTGATTTCATCACATGAATAAAACTATGCTATGACATTTCAGTTTCTGACAGGTACAAGAGTTATAGTCAGTGGTGATACTTCCAGGTTTAGGCACTAAACTCCCCCACAAAATCAAGCTTTACAACTATCATTCAGATCATCATTGTAATCCATAATTGCATAATTAAGGTTGTAGCATGTGGACCACAACAGTGATAAGTGAAAAGAAAGTCTTCAATCAGCATGAGTTCCCTATTGCACAACAGACGTTTATTGTGTACGATATTCAGTTTGGCAGTTGCTCTTGGTATATAAACATTACTGCTTTTGAAACTTCAAATAAGATCTTAAGATGCAGGAATATCACTGAAGGTTTCTGGCTTGCACATCAATTATTACCTTGCAAGCACCTCCAACCTATATTTGTTACGGCTATTAATCAGTTCTTTATACTATTATGTTCCTCAGCCACAGCAAAGGCCTATGGTCTAGCCCAAATTCAGCAGTGGGAACATAAAATGAATGTTTTGCTCTACTTTATTGGAAACATTTGGAAGAGTATCCAAAATCTCACCTGATTCTTTGCACCTCATCACTCGCACGTCTTTGGGCTGAACCCCATCATAATCCTTCAGCAATTCAAGAATCTGAAAAATAACAAGTACATTGTTTTTCCCTCCTCGATCATGCAAATATCAAATTAGTTAAAATGTCTAATTGCAAATTTCTGCATTTATAATTTGTTACACTGGTATTAAAATGACTCTGGTCTGGGTTACAGCTTGTTTGCTTTTTTTGATGGATACCAGTTTATGGGCAAATACAAATTTATATAAATATATTTATAATTCACATTTTTAGTTTCAATCAATCAATGTCAATAATCACATCAACAATCTACATCTGACCACAAAGGATATAGCTCTCCATAAGAGAAGACAAGACATTCACCACATATTGCTCTAACCCTCAGGTTTGTACTACAAAAATTCCAAGTAACCTAGCCATTGAAAAACAATCAATAAAATGTTTTACAAAAATATTTTATAAAAAACATATAAATATATATATTTATATTTTTATATATATAAAAAAATATATATATACACACATCCTCTCTGGTTGTTGATGAAGGAAGACCTCTCAACATAATTGTTCTGTTCTTTTTCTCTTTAGCTCCATTGTTTCTGTAATCATGATCTTTGTAGTCACCATCGGAATAATGGCCCTCCTCAGACTTGTCAAATCTGTTGTCTTCTTCAAAACTCTGGAAGCAAAGAGAATTTTTCTGTGAGAAATGCCATACTCACTTAAAGCCTCTATTTTCTCCAAGCTCGAAAGGAGAAAAGCTATAATTGTATTGTTCAGTATTTCTCCATAGTAAAAGTGTTGCATGACTATGAGTACATTTTTAACTAACATTCAAATGAGTTAGTGGATTAAATAGCATTCAACATCTCATACAGCAACATCAGACTGAACACCAAAATTTTATATAGATAGGAACAGACTTGTTGAAAAGGAAGACTAAACATACCTATTGCTGTGCACTACTAAATTGATCATTACAGAACATTACCAAAGCTCTCAAAGCAACAACAAATTACATTTGTGTAGGCCCTTCCACGTCAGGAGGACATCCCAAGGCACTGGACAGTCAGGGATCCACACCCAAGCTGGTGGTTGAGATCAGAAGAGGTGGAGGGTGGGGAGAATAGGGGTAGGAGGGTGAATGAAGGGCCGGTCGAAGAGGAGGGTCATCAACGGAACCCGCTGAGCAGAGGGAGTGCACAGGTTGGTAGGGGATTAGAAGATCAAAGAGGTAGAGAGGAGCAAGGCCATGGAGGGCTTTGGAGATGAGGGTCAGGATCTTGAATTGTATCCTTTGAGTGATGGGGAGCCATGGAACCAGGCGAGGATGGCGGTGATAGGGTCGCGGAGATTGGTGCATGAAGCTATGGCTACAAAGTTCTGGATGATCTGCTACTAAGGCAATTACCATCCTGACATAACGCACCCCACCCCAGGCAATATCTGACCCCATCAATGTAAAGAGGTTCTCCTACGTGAAGAATACTATAAATGCAAGTTGACGTAGCACTATACCTCAGAATTCTCATAATCCCTGTAGTCTTGATGGTGCTCACTGCTGTGATAATCACTGCGTCGTCTATCCCGGTCATACTCCCGGTCATAATCTCGGTCATAATCCCGGTCATAATCGCGATCATAATCCCGGTCGCGTTCCCGATCATACTCTCGATCGTCTTCCCGATCATACTCTTGATCATCTTCCTGATCGTACTCTCGATCTTGCTCCAGAACATACTCCCGGTCATGATCATGATCATATTCATGGTCATAGTCCCGATCGTGCTCTCGGTCATACTCCCGATCATATTCACGTTCGTATTCCCGGCTATGACTCGGTGGAGCACGATAATCAACATCCTTGTAATCATAGTTTCGTCTCCCTCTCGAGTCTCGATATTCTTCTCTGCTCCGTTCAGAACCATATCGACCACTTCGTTCACTTCGACTGGTCTCACTGGTACAGGAAAAAAAATCCAATGCAGATACTTTTAGCAGAAATCACAACAGAAAAATTATGAATATCATGACTGTGGCAGGAGGAGCATGCCCGGTTGGTGTCCCTAAAGGAAGGAACCCATCAGGATGACACAACATGACTAGGTTGGCTAAACAGTAATGGTTTATTTAAAAAGCACAAAACTTAATTATCTGAAACTTGAGAAAGTCAGATGACTACAACAACAACAACAACAACAACAGGATTCCATTTATAAAGCGCCTTTCAGGTCAGGAGGACGGCCCAAGGCGCTGCACAGTTGGGTCATGACCCGAGCAGGGGGGAAATGGTCAGGGTGAGGGGAGGGAGCGAGGAGGGTGGAAATGGTCAGGATGAGGTGAGGGATGGGAGGGAGCGAGAAGGGGAAAGAGAGTCGAGAGGGGAGCTGAAGGCTCGGTCAAAGAGAAAGGTTTTGAGACCGGCCTTGAAGGAGGAGAGGGAGGAGGCGGCGAAGGCACTGGGGGATAGAGTTCCAGAGCCTCGGGGCTGAGAGGCTGAAGGCCCGACCACCAATGGTAGGGCGATTGGGGCGGGGGACGTGGAGCAGACCGGAGCCGGAGGAACGGAGGGTACGGGCAGGTAGGTAGCGGGATAGTAGGTTGGAGAGGTAGGAGGGAGCGAGGCCGTGAATGGCCTTGTAGGTGAGGATGAGGATCTTGAAATCAATCCTCTGGGGGATGGGGAGCCAGTGGAGGCGAGCGAGGTTGGGAGAGATGTAGTCCCGAAGCCTGGTGCTGGACAGTACACGAGCTGCAGAGTTCTGAATGACCTGCAGTGTGGAGGGAGGTGGCGGGAAGGCCGGCGAGGAGAGAGTTCCCATAGTCCAGCCTTGAGGTGACAAAGGCGTGAACCAGGGTTTCAGCAGCGTGAGGGGTGAGGTAATGGCGTAGTCTGGCGATGTTCCGGAGGTGATGGAAGGCGGTGCCAGTTGTGGTGCGGATGTGAGGGAGAAAGGACAGCTCAGGGTCGAACAAAATGCCGAGGTTCCTGACTGGCTTTGAGAGGTGGAGAGTGCAGCCTTGGATGCTGATGGTGTCAGCGCCTGAGGTGCGGAGGCGCTGACGCGAACCAATCAGGAGGGCCTCGGTTTTTCGCACATTGAGCTGAAGAAAGTTGTCTCTCGTCCAGGACTCGATGTCGGACAGGCAGCTGTCAGGACATCGGTGGTCGTGGAGTTGAGAGTAGAGGAGGAAAGGTAGAGTTGGGTGTCATCCGCATACATGTGGAAGTTAACTCCATGTCTGCGGATGATGTCACCACAGGGGGAGCATGTAGAATTACGTAATCAGACAAACCTAAATCTACTTAAGCAGTACTACGTTGGGTTGCAGGGAGAAATGCACAAATTAGAACATGAGCTTAATGCTATTTTTTCCCCAAAGGAACAAAGGTGGAGAGGTGATCTAATTGAGGTCTTTAAAATTATGAGGGCCTTTGATAAGAGTTAACAGGGATCAGTGACATAGATCGTTTCAATTTAGAATAGTTAGATTGTACCAATAGGAAGGAAAACTGATCAAAGGCCAGCTTTAAAGCGTTGCTCTGGTACAAAAAAATTTTTTTTGACCAGTAACAAAGCCAAAAGCATCCGATTAACATCCTCTATTCTTATTTCCCTACAAAAATGATAATAATACTTGCATTTGATATAGCGCTTTTCACATCGGGAGGACGTCCCAAAGCACTTCACAGAACAAACTGTAAAGTGAATTGACTGTATATTTGTGGGCGAACGCGGCAGTCAATTGCGCACAGCAATGTCCCACAAACAATCGTAGATTGAAAATGATCAATTTATTATTGTTTTGGAGGGATTATTATTAGGCGTGTGGAGTAAGGAAACTTGCCCAAGGTTTCGCCCTGCCGGGAATTGAACTCAGGTCTCTCGCTTGCAAAGCGAGTGCTCTAACTTCAGGACTCTACAAAAGCACGATTATGCATAAAACTTACCGTTTATCATATTTATCATATCCCATTGTTACGGAATATTGTGAACACAGTGCTTCTCCAATGCAATGAATGGATCTACAATGGAAAAAAACAGAATATTGGGTGAAGATGGGACACAAAAAGCTCCTGATGTTCCCCTGGCCAACAAATCTCCAGATAAACATTCACTTCATGGAGGTTTTTGGGTATTTACTGAACGCTATTGTTTACCTTCAAGTAACAATCACTACAATTGACAGTAACTGCCTGTGAAGTACTTCAACATGATAGGTGCGATATCAAATACGATATTATTTATAAAAAATAGTAAAAACAGAAATCTCTGGAAACACGCAGCAGGTGAGGTAGCATCTATGGAAAAAGGAAAATTAATTAACGTTCAGGTCGATAACCTTTTGTTAAAACTTGGCAAAAAGGGGGGGGGCATGCGTGCGGAAAGCGGGGGCGCACGCGGGGAAGGGGGGGGCAAGGGAAGGGGGGGCGAGGGAAAGGGGGGGGCGAGGGAAAGGGGGGGCGAGGGAAGGGGGGGGAGGGGGGGGGGGGCGAGGGGGGGGGGGGGGGGCGGGCGAGGGGGGGGGCGGGCGAGGGGGGGGGGGCGGGCGAGGGAGGGGGCGGGGGCGAGGGGGGGGGGAGGGCGAGGGAGGGGCGGGGGGCGAGGGAGGGGGCGGGAGGGCGAGGGAGGGGGCGGGAGGGCGAGGGAGGGAGGGGGCGGGAGGGGGCGGGAGGGCGAGGGAGGGCGAGGGAGGGAGGAGGCGGGCGAGGGAGGGGGCGGGCGAGGGAGGGGGCGGGCGAGGGAGGGAGGGGCGGGCGGGCGAGGGGACGGGCGGGCGAGGGAGGGGACGGGCGGGCGAGGGAGGGACGGGCGGGCGAGGGAGGGGACGGGCGGGCGAGGGAGGGGACGGGCGGGCGAGGGAGGGGACGGGCGGGCGAGGGAGGGACGGGCGGGCGAGGGAGGGGACGGGCGGGCGAGGGAGGGGGGCGGGCGAGGGAGGGGGGGCGGGCGGGGGGGGGGGCGGGGCGGGGGGGGGGGCGGGCGGGGAGGGGGGCGGGGCGAGGGAGGGGGGCGGGCGAGGGAGGGGCGGGCGAGGGGGGGGCGGGCGAGGGAGGGGGCGGGCGAGGGAGGGGGCGGGGGGGGGGGCGGGCGAGGGAGGGGGCGGGGGCGGGCGAGGGAGGGGGCGGGGGCGGGCGAGGGAGGGGCGGGGGCGGGCGAGGGAGGGGGCGGGGGCGGGCGAGGGAGGGGGGGCGGGCGAGGGGGGGCGGAAGGGCGAGGGAGGGGGCGGAAGGGCGAGGGAGGGGGCGGAAGGGCGAGGGAGGGGGCGGAAGGGCGAGGGAGGGGGCGGAAGGGCGAGGGAGGGGGCGGAAGGGCGAGGGAGGGGGCGGAAGGGCGAGGGAGGGGGCGGAAGGGCGAGGGAGGGGGCGGGCGAGGGAGGGGGCGGGCGAGGGGGGGGGCGGGCGAGGGGGGGGGGCGGGCGAGGGGGGGGCGGGCGAGGGAGGGCGAGGGAGGGGACGGGCGGGCGAGGGACGGGCGGGCGAGGGGCGGGAGGGCGAGGGAGGGGGCGGGAGGGCGAGGGCGAGGGAGGGGGCGGGAGGGCGAGGGAGGGGGGGCGAGGGAGGGGGGGGCGAGGGAGGGAGGGCGAGGGAGGGGGGGGCGAGGGAGGGGGGCGCGGGCGGGTAAGGGGGCGCGGACGAGGGAGGGGGGGCGCGGACGAGGGAGGGGGGCGCGGACGAGGGAGGGGGGGGCGGGCGAGGGAGGGGGGGGCGGGCGAGGGAGGGGGGGGCGGGCGAGGGAGGGGGGGCGGGCGAGGGAGGGGGGGGCGGGCGAGGGAGGGGGGGCGGGCGAGGGAGGGGGGGGCGAGGGAGGTGGGGGGGCGAGGGAGGTGGGGGGGCGGGCGAGGGAGGGGGGGCGAGGGCGGGCGGGGCAAGCAGGCGAGGGAGGGGGGCGGGCAAGGGAGGGGCAGGCAAGGGAAGGCGGGCGCGGGAAGGAGGGCGCGGGCGAGGGAAGGGGGGGCGCGTGCGAGGCGGCGGCCGAGGGAGGGGGCGGGCGGGCGAGGGAGCGGGTGGGGGAAGGGGCGGGCGAGGGAGGGCGGGTGAGCGAGGGCGGGGGGCGAGGAGGGCGGGGCGGGCGAGAGAGGGCGGGGCGGGCGGGCCAGGAAAGGGGGGCGGGCGAGGGAGTGCGGGGTGGGCGAGGGAGGGCGGGCCAGGAAAGGGGGGACCAGGAAAGGGGGGGGCAGGAAAGGGGGGGCAGGAAGGGGGGGGCAGGAAAGGCGGGGGGCGAGGAAAGGGGGTGGGGCGAGGGGAGGGCGAGGGGAGGGCCGAGGGGGAGGCGCGCGGGGCGGGAAGAGGGAAAGGGGGGGCGAGGGAGGGAAGGAGTGGGGGGCAGGGTCCGGGGTGGGGGAAGGGGCAGGGTCTGGGTAGTTGGATGCCAGGGAAGGTGGTCAGGGACGATGGGGGGGCAGGGGCGGCGTCAGAGGGCAGGGGTTGGCAGGGCACCTGTGGCGAGGTAACGGATAGGGGGGGCAGGGCTCGTGTGTGGGGGAAGGGAACCTGCGGACGTTGCTCTGCAAATGGCCGCTCTGTCTTCTGTCTTCTCAGTCGCTCTTCATCACGAGCTGAGACCTCGCTGGCTTTTCACATTCCGCCCCAAACTGTCACCTACTTGTGCCTGGACACACGCTGAATGAATAACCTGGTGTGGAATGAACGGAAGGCCGCCCGATTCGGGCCTGCGCTTTACCTGACACACAAACGCACTTCTTCCCCAATCTCTCCTCCTTCCACCGCTGACGCATCCAAAATGGCGGTTGAGACAGGCGCCTGCGCTCCTCTCACATCCGCCTCCAGCACACCGCGCGGCATGCTGGGACAGAGGAGGTCGACTCGCCCGCGCGGCATGCCGGAACTGAGGAGGTCGGCTCGCCCGCGCGGCATGCCGGGACTGAGGAGGTCGGCTCGCCCGCGCGGCATGCCGGGACTGAGGTTGGTTTCCTGGCGATGGCAGACAGCTGTCTGCTGGGAAGTTGTAGTTTAATATAATAATAATAATCCTCGCATTTGATATTGCGCTTTTCACGTCTTCTCAATGTCTCAAAGCGCTTCACAGAACACACTGTAAAGTGAATTGACTGTATATTTGTGGGCGAACGCGGCAGCCAATCGCGCACAGCAATGTCCCACAAACAGTCGTGGATTGAAAATGACCAATTTATTATTTGGTGTCGGTTAGCGTGAGAGAGAGAGAGAGAGAGAGAGTAGGGGGTGTGGGGGTGAACATAAGATGTTGCAGCTGTAAATGTCTGTCGCTCTGATGTGACCTCGGCTGTATAATTTATTTGCTTTATTATGATGCAATGTATCCAGTTTCTACTTCTCTCCCCAGCCGGCGCGTGTACCTCTGCTCCTCTACAACCACACGTCCCCTCCAGACGCATTGAGCCATTGTCCTTGGCAGTGAGGATCGGTGGGTCACATTGGCTGTTGAGGGTGACGAGGACAATGCAGCACTGCCCCCCACCCACAGCACTGCACTGGAGTGTCAGCCTGGACTATGAGTTCAAAGTCCTCATGTGGGATTCAAACGCACAATCTTCTGACTCAGTAGCGAGAGCGCAAGTGACTGAGCCAGGCTGACAACTGGATCCCAACCCTAACATTGTAAAAATTATTGCAAATAATGGACAATCCTGGTTTCCTTCAGTATATATTTATAACACTGCAAACAAATAATAATAATAATCCTTGCATTTGATATAGTGCTTTTCACATCTTCTAGAGTCTCAAAGCACTTCAGAGAATGTACTGTAAAGTGAATTGAATTAAACAAAACAGTAATTTATCAGGATGCAGAGATAGGTTAGGCAAAATGAACATTCTAACATTCACATCTTCTGGTCTTCCTTACCCCACCCACATTTACATTTACAATATTTATAATGAACATTTACAGTATTTATAAAATTCTCCAATTATTATTTACTGTAGCCAGTACTGAACCAATTCAGGTTCATGCATGAGTCTTGCGTATTGGCAATTGTTGGGCACGGTAGAGTATCATAATCCCAATCCTGTTCTTCCGTGACAACCCATATGTGAAACTTCCAGCAGGGAAAAGAACAAGAACAGAAACAATTTTTTTCTAAGTTTAGATAACAATAATAATAATCCTTGCATTTGATACAGCGCTTTTCACATCTTCTAGACGTCCCAAAGCACTTCACAGAATATACTGTAAAGTGAATTGACTGTATATTTGTGGGCGAACGCGGCAGCGAATTGCGCACAGCACTGTCCCACAAACAGTCGTAGATTGAAAATGACCAATTTATTATTGTTTTTGTTTTTTGGAAGGATTATTATTTGGCGTGTGGAGTAAGGAAACTTGCCCAAGGTTTCACCCGCCTGGAATTGAACTCGGGTCTCTCGCTTGCAAAGCGAGTGCTCTAACCACTGAGCTACAGGACTCCACTAGATCCACTATTATCGCCAATGCTGAGATCAGGTAACTTCTGATCTGTATGGTCTGTGCATCCACCTTGCCCATATAACTGTATTTTCCTTCACCAGGCCATCTGGAGAGCTCTTGGACAGTTTAATTGTAACCCTGATCTGGAATTCAGGATCTGGGTTTCTGCCACGATGCCGGCAGAGCTCGAGGACCTTTTGGCTTTTGGACACGATGGTTAAATTCTGTAAAACAATTAAAAAGAAAAGAAGCAATTTCTTTTTTAAAATATATCTCACGGTTTCGAAGTAGGAAGAGAAACATAGAAAGGGTACCACACATTATATTCCAGGAAAAAAGCCTGTATGTGCATGTATGTGTATATTCATATGTGCGTGCGCATATTGGTATGTGTGTCATTACCAGAAGGATAGTCACTAATTCATCATTAGATATCTGATGAGTGCAGGCCTCACACCCTCTAATGGGTCAGTGTAGTTCTGGTTACTGAAAGGAGTCCCCATTTGCACTTTTAGATTGAGCTCAAGCCCACAATCTTCCAACAAGAGGCGATAGTGTGACTGGCTGAGTCACGCTGACAATTTCAGGGTAAGTGGTGATCAAGTCATAATTATCACAGACAGAGTAATCAGGAGATTCTGGAACGAGTCGTTGCTTTCCAGCATCGTTCTTTCCTCTCGGAACTCCCTGCATGAACCACTCCAATTTGGTTTCTTTCCTGCTCATAGTATAGAGACAGCCTTAGACAAAGTCACAAATGATTTCTGTCCATCTGTACATTGTCAACTCCCACTCTAGTCTTCTACACCACCTCTCCTCTCAGCTCCCCCTTCATGGTTCTGTCTGTTCATGGATGCACTCTCCATCTCACAAGGCCAGTACAGAACATCAATGTCTTGTTCAGCACCTTGGGATGTCCTCCTGATATGAAAGGCACTATATTAATCCAATTTGTTGCTATTATTGTTGTAAATGCTTCCCTGTCAGTAAGTGAGATGTGTGACTTGGCAACCTGAATGGTATAACATAATAATGGCTGTTTCAATACTTGCCAACACGTTTCCTTCCATTGTTCAGCAGCTGATTTAGAGTCTGGGGATTGAAGAAGAGAAAGCAATTGGTAAAACGTTTGATTTCACATTCATATTCTGACCACCCGCCCCAGCTCTGGTCCAAATTCCTGATTGTCCAGTACCTTGGGATGTCCTCCCGACATGAGAAAAGTTATACAAATGTAATTTTGTATTGTATTGTGAACTCAAATGGACAAGAAAATATTAATAATTACATTTGATATAGCACCTTTCAGATCAGGAGGATGGCCCAACGAGTTTTGCAGGATTTACTGTAAATTGTAGTGACTGTATTATGTGGTCAGCCAACTTTGTGCATAGCAAACAGCCATAAAGTGACTGACCAATCTTATTTGGGGGATTATTGTCCAGGACACCGGGAGAGAGAAACTCCTCTTTTCCAATAGTGTTCTGAGAATGATAACAGTATTCTTTAGCCAACCTTTGCCTGGAAAGAGAGTTCCAGTTTGCTCTGAATCCAAAGCCGCGCGCTTTGTGAGTGAAAAAGCGCTCTACCCACAAAATATACAGTCATTTCACTTTACAGTCTATTCTGTGAAGCGCTTTGAGACGTCTGAATAACATGATAAGGCGCTATATCGACTGCAAGGATTATGTTTTATTAAAGCAAACACATTTGCTACAAAAATAAAATAATAAAAAGGAAACAAAACCAGGAAATGCACAACATCCTAAAGAGAAAAACAGGCTATCATTTGGTTGTGACCTTTCATACCTGAAAAGTGGAAAGCCCTATCAAGTAAGGTGGTAGAGGTAAAGTCCATTGTGGGTTTAATAGGGAAATAGATGTGTATCTGAAAGTTAGAGTCTGACAGAGTTAGGGCAGGCCAGTGGGATTGAAAGCACTGCTTGCTCCAAGAACCAGTGCAGACTCGATAGGCCAAATGATCTCCTTCTGCTCTGTAAATTTCTACGATTTATCAAAACTGGAGGAACTGAACAGATGGGTCACACCTCAAAGGTTAACATGCTTTTCTCACTCAGATGCTGGCTGACTCCACCTCCAGCAATTTTGAGTTTTATTTGAAATATCCTGCCATTCATGTTTTCCTCTTTGTTTCACAGATCTGAATTATTTTTAAGATGAAATTACACACATATAGAATGTTTCAGCCCAACAACAGGCTATATAGGGCATTGAGATTGTGCCAGTGTTTATACTCCACACATGCCTCTACCCCTCCTTATAATAATAATAATAATAATAATAATCCTTGCATTTGATATAGCGCTTTTCACGTCGGGAGGACGTCCCAAAGCGCTTCACAGAACACACTGTGAAGTGAACTGACTATATTTGTGGGCGAACGCGGCAGCCAATTGCGCACAGCAATGTCCCACAAACAGTCGCGGATTGAAAATGACCAATTTATTATTGTTTTGGGGTTTTTGGAGGGATTATTATTAGGCTCTGTGTGGAGTAAGGAAACTTGCCCGAGGTTTCACCTACATCTATCAGTTTATACAGTTTATCCTATCACCTACACCCCTCTTTTCTCCTTTATGTCGGCATCAAGCTTCCTCTTAAATAGATTGATGCTTTTTGTTTCAACGACAGTTTCCGGTAGTAAGTTTCACATTCCCCCCACAATCTGTATGAAGATGTTTCCCTATTTTAGACCTACGACTTGGCTACCTTGTTCACCCCCAAAACACATAGTCACTGCACTTTACAGTAAGTAAAGCACCTTGGGATGTCCTATCAAAGAGCTTCCACTAGCTATACCTTATATTTGTTGTAAAATAATCCTTGCATTTAATACTGCACCTATAATGTTAAAGAGTAGAATACAAATTTACACTTTTAACATCTGATCTTTCCATCCACGGTCTCCTACGCTGTTCCAATGAATAGCACCTCAATTTGCATGGTGCTGAGCTATGCAACGTCATCTGTGCCGAAGGCAAAATCCAGCCTGAGATGTTGTAGTTTAGCTCAGTTGGTGATCTTTTGCCTCCGAATAAAAAGGCAGTGGGAGGTTGAAGTCCTACATTGGGACTTGATCTTACAGTCCTGACTGAAACTTTAGTGTGGTAATGGGGGATCACTCCATTGTCAGAGTTAATGTCTCTTTGATAAGATCTTAACCCAAGGACCCACCTGACTAGTCAAATGGATGTTAATGATTCTAGGATTCTCTCAGCAGTCTGGTCATTCACTTCATGATTATATGCCAGACTATGCTATGCAAATTGGCTGCTGCATTTGCTACAAATAAACATTCCCTGAACTTGGCAACAGTTCCCTGTGAGAGCTTTGAGAAATTTTCCTACATGAAAGGTGCTAAATAAGTGCAAATTGTTGTTTGAGACATCGCAGCATTATAGGTATACATCAGGAAAAAAAAGGTGTTAAAAACCCATAAAATTGAAATTATTTTATTGTATACAAGAATTTGCAGACAGATTAACTTACACATAATAACAACAACAACTTTCATTTATATAGCCTTCATGCGGGGTGGCATCCCAGAGCGCTGGACATTGATGGAGTCTGACCCTGAGCCAGGGGGAAAGGGAGGCGGAAATCTGATGGACAAAGTGTCCGTCACATACAACACTTGCATTTATATAGCACCTTTCATGCGGGGTAGCGTCTTGCAATGCTTAACAATGGTGTAGTCTAACGCCAAGCTGGAGAGATAGGGCAGATTATCATACAGGTCAATAAGAAAGGTCTTCAGGTGCAACCTGTAGACGGGCAAAGAAGTCCAGAGTTCACATTTACTTTGGTTGAAATGGAAGGAACAAGTACTTACATTTCTAAATGTGTCCATGGCCGTACTTTTCATTCCAATGTCACTGCTCGAACTGTATATTGGACTCAGGGGACCTGGAAGAAAAGAGAACTCATAAACCCCAGATAAGAAGATCGCCATCTTCACAGATCAAGTTAAAAAGGGAAGTGACCTTTGGGTGTAAGAGCACTGCACTGCACTGGAGTCTTAGGGCTGAGCTCTGTAGCACTCTTGACCACCTGATATTCTACAACAATCCTACCGTAGATTTCCTGGGAGTGCTGTAGCGTATTGGTTAATTCGATCACTTTGCAAACGCGAGGACTCGGGTTTGATTCCCAGGCAGGACGAAATGTTATGCAAATTTCGTTACTGCACATGCCTCTGTTTACCTAGGAGTAAGTAGGAACCGACTTCAATGCTACCCTCACCCCATAATAATAATAATAGTAATTTAATCCTTGCATTTGATATAGCGCTTTTTATGTCTTCTCAATTTCTCAAAGCGCTTCACAGAATAATAATAATAATAATAATCCTTGCATTTGATATAGCGCTTTTCACGTCGGGAGGACGTCCCAAAGCGCTTCACAGAACACACTGTAAAGTGAATTGATTGTATATTTGTGGGTGAAATGCGGCAGCCAATTGCGCACAACAGTGTCCCACAAACAGTCGAGGATTGAAATGACCAATTTTTTTTTGAGGGATTATTATCAGGTGTGTGGAGTAAGGAAACTTACCCAAGGTTTCACCCTGCCATGTCCACGCACTGGTGGAAGGTATAGTGGGGAAGGGGGCATTAGATAGTGTTTGGAGCAGGAACCCTGATTTTACCCTCCCTAACTTACAAATGCTGAAATTAATTAATGCCCCAAATTATAGATGGCCCATCTGAGATAAACTAATGTAACATGGAACAAGACTCAAATCTATGATTCCTGATTTGTGGCTTAGAGGTATCTCAGACTACCATTCCATTTCCAGCCTACCCTTCCTTGCTAAAGTCATGGAACGCATTGTTGCAGGTTAACTTCGGTTACACCTCTCCCTCCACTCCCTCCTCAAGCCTCTGGAATCTGGTTTTTGCCCTGCCCACAGCACAGAGACAGAGCTTGTCAAAGTCACAAACAACATTCTCTATCTGTGACCAGGACTCCCTCTGCCTTCTCGTCCTCCTGGATCTCTCTGCCCTGTTCGACACAGTCGACCACACCATCTTCCTCCACCGTCTCTCCTCCCTCATCCACCTTAGTGGGCCCGCACTCGCATGATTTGAGTCCTACTTAACTAACTACCTTCATTTCATCTTGGCATATGGTTTCTCCTTCCACTCCCACCCCGCTCCAGAGACCTGTGAGATACCCCAGGGCTCCATCCTTGCCCCTCTTCATTTCCTCATCCATATGCTCCCACTTGGCAATGACATCCGCAGACACAGGGTAAACTTCTACATGTATGTGGAGAACACACATTGCCCGCTTCTGACTGTACTTTACCCCAAATGCAGCCGAAATCTTTGTGCATGCGTTTGTCACCTTCAGCTTGGATTACTCCAACACAAAGCTCTCCGGTCTCCCCAGCTTCACTATTAAAAAAAATCCAGCTCATTCAGAACTCTGCTGCCAGGACTAAACTCTGTACCCCCAACTCACCAGTTCTGGCCAGACTTCACTGGCTCCCCATCACCGAACGGATCGACTTCAAGATCCTCACACTCGTGTTCAAATCCATTCACTCCCTGGCACCTCCCTACCTCTCTGACCTCCTCACTCCCCAATCCACCCGGTGCCTCTCCTCGACTGGCACTGGCCTCCTGCTCATACCTCACAGCCTCTGCCCCACCATCGGAAGTTGCACTTCCAGCCACAATGCCCCAAAAGTGTGGAACACTCTCCCTCAACTCCGCCATTGTTAAGCACTGAGATGCTACCCTGCATGGAGGGTGCTATATAAGTGCAAGTGGTTGTTGTTTTATTTATTACATTGTGGCTGGCCAGATGGACAGCAAAGATCTTGGACAATCCTGTAGAACTCAATGTGACAGATACAGTTAAATCAACAACTTGCATTTATATAGCGCCCTCCATGCAGAGTAGCATCTCAGAACACTTAACAGTGGTGGAGCCTGAATTCGAGCTGAGGGGTGGTGGAGGTGGTCGTTGGAACGGTCGAAGAGGAAGGTGTTCAGGTGGGACTTGAAAAAAGGCGAGAGAGGAGGCAAGGCAGTGGGATTGAAAGAGTGTTTTAGAGTTTTGGAGCGTGGTGGCTGAAAGCGTGACCTCCGATGGAGGAGCGGAGCACGGTCCAAGAGGAAGGTCTTCAGGCATGACCTGAAGATGGGGAAGATGAGGAATATCAAAGAAATATTCACCAGGTCCTTACCTCGCCTTTGATTCATCAGACTTGTGCTGTCAAAGGAAGAATGAGAAGTGCTCGGAATCTCCCCAAGTTTTCTCCCACCAGATCTGACATTGACAGTTATTGGTTGATGCATTGAGTCACTGTTCTGTGAATGCAAATGAAACTCAAGGGTTTTGACAATGGTTTGGACATTCACGTTGACCGGTTCTCCTCTATTATTGCTGTCTTTGCTGCCCTTGATCCCCACCTCTAGCTGTGAAACATAGCGAGGAATGCAATGGTCGGATGTGACTTGACCAGCAGATAATTTATTTTGGATACAAGCAGTTGTTGCCTTGTGCTCTTCCAGTTCCATCGTTTGGCAACTGCAAAAAAAAATCCAGCAAAAAATGGGTCATTATAAGATATAATCTATTTGTTACTTCAGCTCCTGTCTCAGACTCTCCCTCAACAACAACAACAACAACAAATTACATTTGTATAGCGCCTTTCACGTCTGGAGAACAACCGAAAGCACTGGGACAACAGAACCTTGGCAATGAGTAGGTTAACTCTGACTGTTTTGGTGTCTGCCAAATGTGAGTCTTCTTCCACGTCTCTCTTCAAATAAAGAATGTGGATGACTTGGAATCAACGCATGCCCTGACAACATAGCCAAGACTGAAGATTCTGATGAAGACATCAATGGTAATTCCTGCTGCTGCATTGGCCCCGGTGGTTTAATTTAATTATTAAGGTTCACCTCAACCAGAGCTGGGAGCTGTATTTCATTGTAACATTCCCCCTCCTCTCTTGGCAGATTCTCAACCTCAGGCACAACATAATAATTACAAAAATAACAACAATAATAATCCTTGCAATTGATCTAGCGCCTTATCATGTCTTTGAGGGGTCTCAACGTGCTTCACAGAATTCACCATAAAATGAATGTACTGTATATTTTCTGGGGGAAATGTGGGAGTCAATGGAGCACAGCAGTGTCTCATAA